GTCTCAGGGCATAGACATACATTCCCATCACATGGATATATTGGGTGTGGTGGGAAGTGGGTCTCAGGAAGCCCACACCCTAGTCAGTGAACATTGTGACCTGCAGATAGCTTCTGAATCTTAGCTCTCCCCATTCCACTTCATTAAATTTTCAAAACTGCAAAAAGAGAGCACAGCTTCCCATTCCCAGCACTGATTCGACATTGAACAAATCCTCTATTCAGGAAAGGATGGGGGTTGATCAATCAACAGAAGTAAAAACTATTCCCTTTGCTCACTGAGGAACTAAATTAAAGAGAAAAAAATAAATCTTTCACAAATGAGGAAAAATCAACAGAAGAACACAGGTAACCCCTAGAGTCCTAAAAAGGCAACACCCAAAAATACAGATCACTGAGCTTGAAGAGTGGAGATCTCCCAGAACGACTGATCTCAGAACACAAATGTAAAGATCAGGGATTAGATGAAGAGAATAAACAAGAATCAAAATAAATAAGAGCAAAAATGAATGAAATGGTAGCAGAGATTTGGGGCATAAAAAACAGTGTCCATGAAATATATAACAAACTGACAAACATGAAAAACAGAATGAATCAGGCAGAGGAAAGAATCCCAGAGCTTGAAGGCTGAAATATGGAATTAACACAATCTGTTAAAAACATAGAAAAAAAACTCAGAAAAAATGAACAAAACCTCCAAGAGATATGCAATTATATCAAAAGGCTGAACTTATACCTGATTGGTATCCCTCAAGTGGGAAGGGGAATGGGAAACACTTTGAAACGTGCATTCTATGAGATCATTCAATAAAACTTTTCCCATTTCACCAGAGATGCAACCATCCAAACACAAGAGATTCAGAGAACTCCTATAAGGCATCAAATGGAAGACCAATCCCTAGACACATAGTAATTTGCCTACACAAAGTAGGTATAAAAGAAAAAAATCCTAAAGGCAGCAAGATAGAAAGGTCAGCCTAAGTACTAGGGAAGAGCAAACAGAATAACACCAAACTTATTCAAAGATACAGTATAAGCTAGAAGGAATTCAAGTTCAATTTTTAAAAAAATTTTATTTTAAAGTTGAAGGGTATAATTCAGGATCAGGTACACAAATGGTCATTATACGGGTAAAGTTTGGGCCTCACTTTGGTCCCCACTTCAGCTAGTTTGAGATCAGGTACCCTTATTGATGATGTATGCCACCCTCCCCAGCAGTTTCCTACTACTGCCAATTTCTTTCTTGTAGTATTATGATAATTGTTCAGAGTCCACTTAGGAGTGAAAACATGTGCTATACAGTTCTTTGTTTTTGTGATAGATCACTGAGTATTACAGGCTCTAAATTCACCCAAGTTGCTGTGAGGTTCATAATTTTGTCCTTCTTTATGGCTTCATCATATATATGTAACACACTTTTTATCCGGTCTACTTTCAATGGGCAGCATGGTTGGTTCCATGTTTCTGCTATTGTGATTAGTGCTGCAATAAACAAGTATGCACAGGTATCTTTGGTATATTTTTTATAGTTCTCAAAGAAAGGCAATTTTAACTAAGAATTTCCTACCCAGCTAAGCTAAGTTTCCAGCAATAGAGAATTAAAATCCTTCCCAGATATCCAGTACCTAAGAGATTATGCTGCTTCCAAAACAGCTCTACAGGAGATGCTTAAGAAGATATTGAACACAGAGGGGAAAAAAAAGACCAAGAAGTTCACTAGAGTACAAGCAAGCACAGAGTCAATAGAACATGCAGTGAATCCACACACATTAACGCTAAAGTTAAAAGAAAGCAAGATAGAATCCCAAGAGCCCTAAGACAGGGATAAACTCTAATATTTCAGTAATCAGTCTGAATATGAAAGGACTAAATGCACCACTGAAAAGACACAGAGTGACAAACTGGATAGAAAACCATGAGCCAACAATCTGCTGCCTCCAGGAAATCCATCCCACTACAAAGAACACTCACAGACTCAAAACTGGAGGCTGAAAAAATGAACTTTCAGGCAAATGGAAAACAGAAAAAGGCAGGAGTAGTGATTCTAATATCAGATAAAACAGCCTTCAAGCTATCAGAAGTTAAAAAGGATACAGAACTTTATATATTAATAAAAGGTTCAATCTACCAGCAGGAAATATCCAACCTAAACATATATGCACCCAAGACAGAAGCACCAGGTTTATAAAGCAATTGAGAAGTAAACTAAAAGAGAACATTGACTCATACACAATTAAAACTGGAGACTTAAATATTCCACTAACAATTGTAGATAAAACATTGAGGCAAAAAAAATCAGTGAGGTGATCTGGAACCTCAACTCAACACTTGACCAAATGGACTTAATAGACATCGACAGAGCACTTTACCCAACAAATACAGAGTATACATTCTACTCATCAGAACATGGAACATACTTCAAGATTGACTTCAAAGGAGTCTGTTAAAAATCTCCTTGCACTGACAAATGACTTTGGTAAAGTTTCTGAGTACCAAATCATTGTGCAAAAGACAGTGGTATTTCTAAACACTAGTAACAAACACAGAGAGAACCAAATAAAAAACAATTTCATTCACAAGAGCCCTTCTTCCCTCCCGCAAAAAAAACCCTTGGTCTCTTCCTAATCAGAGACGTGAAAGGTCTTTAAATGAGAACTATAAAACACTGCTCAAAGAAATCAAAGAGGACACAAACAAATGGAAAAACATTCCATGCTCATGGATCTGATGAATTAATATTGTTAAGATGCTCATCCTACCAAAGGCAATCTACAGAGTCAATGCAGTATGTATCAAATTACCAACATCAATCTTTTTAGAACTGGAAACAACAATACAGAAAATCATATGGAAACAAAAAAGAGCACAAATAGCCAATGCAATCCTTAGCAAAAGAAATAAAATGGGAGGTATCACACTTCCAGACTTTAAACTTTACTATAAGATTATAAAAATCAAACAGGCTGGTTTTGGCATGAGAACAGGCATGTAGACCAATGGAAAAGGACAGAGATTTTAGAAGCAAAAACTTGTTCTCTCAACCAACACATTTTTGACAAAGCCATCAATAACAAGCACTGGGGAAGGAGATCTTATTTAGCAAATGGTTTTGGGAAAACTGACTGACCACATGCAGAAGAATAAAACAGGACCCATGCTTTTCACCATATACAAAAAATCAACTCTAAATGGATCAAAGACCTAAACATAAAAAGTTCAGACTATAAGAATCTTAGAAGAAAACACAGGAGACACTCTTATGTACATTGGAGTAAGCAGCCAATTCTTGATCATAACCCCAAAAGAATTTGCTGTAAAAGACAAGATGGACAAATAGGACCTCATCAAACTGAAAAGTTTTTGCACAAAGAAACCATCAAGAAAGTGGGGAGAGAACCCACAGTGGGAAAAAATATATTTGCTAACTGTATATCTGACAAAGGTCTACAATCCAGAATCTACAAGAACCTCAAGCCAAAGGGAAAAAAACATATAGCCCTATAGAAAAGTAGGCAAAAGACATGAATAGACACTTCTCAGAAGAAGACACACAAACAGCCAACAGATACATGAAAAAAAAGCTTAGCCTCACTAATCATCAGAGAAATGCAGATCAAAACCATATTCAGATACCACCTAACTCCAGTAAGGATGGTCATCATTAATAAATAAAACAGGTCGGGCACAGTGGCTCAAGCCTGTAATCCCAGCACTTTGGAAGGCAGAGGTGACGGGATTGCCTGAGTCTATAGGTTCGAGAACAGCCTGGGCTCAGAGACCTTGGCGAGATATCATCTCTACAATAAATTTTTAAAAAATTAGCCTGGCATGGTAGTGCATACCTGTAGTTCCAGTTACTTGGAAGGCTGAGGTGGAAGGATCTCCTGAGCCCAGCAGGTCAATGCTGGGGTGACCATGAGAGTGCTACTGAACTCCAGTCTGGGTAATGGAGTGAGACTCTAACTCAAAAAAATAAAATAAATAAATAAATAGATAGATAAATAAATAAGTAAATGAGTAAAACAGATGTCGGCAAGGATGCTGAGAAAAGGGAACACTTCTACTCTGTTTGTGGGAATGTAAATTAGTTCAACCTCTATAGAAAACGGTGTGGCAATTCTTAAAAGAACTAGAATTGACCTTCCATATGATCCAGCAATCCCCTCCTAGGAATATACCCAGAAGAACTCAAACTTGCACACACATATTTATTACAGCACTACTTACAAAAGCAGAGACTTAGAACCAACTGTGCTGCCCATCGAAAGTGGACTGGATAAAGAAAATGTGGTACATATAACATGAACCTCAAGTATTACACAGCCATAAAGAAGGACAAAACTTATGGGCTTTGCAGCAAGTTGAATGGGTTTAAAGTCCATTATACTGAGTGATCTGTCACAGAAATAAATAACTGAATACCACATGTTCTCACTCATAAGCAGGTCCTAAACATTTATCACGATATTACCAGAGAGGGATCGGCAGTAGTAAGACACTGCTAGGGGAGGGAGGGGACACATAACATCACTAAGGGAACCTGATTCTAAACCAGGAGAAGTGAAGACCAGTTAGAGGTCCAAACTTCATCAGCACATAGACCACTTATGTACCTAATCCTGACTTGTACCCCACATCTTTATAATAAAATAAAGTAAAAATAAATAAATAAAAATTTGAAAGAAAAAATATATATGATTCTTGACTTGTAGAGGCCCTTTATTTCTTATCCCCATCTCTAAGTCATTCTCATTTTATTCTGATTACTTATATTTTCTAAGCTAGGGAATCCAACAGAAGTTCTTAAACACAGATCAAACTATCACGTTTTCTGATCAAGGGAATTAGGGCAATGAACTTTCAAACAAGAGCACGTCTCATATATTTATGATATACTTATCATAGCATAAGATTTATCACACCAGATCAGGTGGGCTTAGTTTGGACTAAGCAATGGGCACAAAAATTGCATACTTCCATTTTTATTTTCCTTGTTCAAAGTTACCATCCCTGGAGATGCTTTGAACTTGGTTGTGAATATGAAGAGTAATCATCCTCCTCCTCTGAGGTTTCCTCTTCATTTTTGTTCACATTTTCCTTTCCATTTTCTTTCATGTTGTTACCTTGAAGTATCCAGGATGATTCAATATTTCTTGTACCACTCTGGTCCAATGTTTTTTGCTCATATTCAGATTGGCAGCTAGTTCTTGGCTTCATATAACGGTCTGATGAATGCAACCATTGTGTTATAGTCTTGCTAATTGAGTCAACTGGGGGAAGACAATTTATGTCTGCATGTGTCTCTGATGTCAGTGACACTATATTTGCCATCTCATATGGATTTTCAGATGAAGCAATATTATTCCTTTTATAACAATCAGTGCTGAAAGGGATGGCACAGAACACGAGATCCGAGGACAGCAGCTTGAACTCATTGGCTGGCCGGGTAATCACAAACCTGTAAGACAAGCCCAAGGTGAATGCTGAGCTTGTGCAGCAGGGGTTGTGTGGCCACAGTCAGGGGTCAAAACAAAAAGGTCATTTTGCTGGGCCATAAGAGGAAATGTTTTTGTTTTGCTTTGCTTCACTGATTTCTGATTAATAGTGAACATCTTTGGTGCCATGCAATAGGAGAGGTCCTAGAGTAGGAATTAGGGGTTTCCCTTTCATCCCTGCCTCTGAACTAATCACCTTGGACTCCTTCTCTGGGCCTTGCTGTTTCTCAACACTTTAACAGAAGAAGAGTAAGACTATGGTTTGGCCTGGTTGATATCTAACAGCCTTTCTGACTCCAGGCTTAGCTGCCTTTAACAGATACTACACTCATGAATTCAATTGACACAATATTGAGTACTTAGCCAAGCTTTACCAAACCAGAAGATTACATATATTTCAGTTATTTCCATCCTAGTTGACAAGGTCTACCCTAACCTACTGCTTATGCCACCAATTTTCACACAGAAGGTAGCCTGACCATTGAAGGAAAGAATTTACCTAAAAAATAGACAAACAAACACAAAAACACCAAAACAAAACCAACAAACAAAAATTCAAAGGTTCACTTGAAACTTTGCTATTTTGCGATTTGGCAAGCGGCAAATGTCACTGAATCTTAAAGAACACACACAGCCTGGACCTGCCTGGAAAGACTGTAGGGAAGCGGGGTTCCTCAACACACTCTCAGGCATAGCAAAGCACCAATAAATGTGAGTTAAATTAATTAGTACACCAGTGCTTATATTGGAACACTGAGGCAGAGTAACCCTGAATGACCTTCATCCTGCATTTTCTCACTGCTGCCCAAGTGACCACCTCTTCCTTCCTAACATGAACCTCAAGACACCATTGACCTTCTTTCACTATCCACCCACTTCTACCTTTCATAATGAGTCCTCTGTAGCTTCCATTATATTCTAAAGAAGATCAAATATTCCATTTAAAACAGAAATATCCTTTCCCCCACCCCCTAGGATCCCATCAAGTATTAGCTACATATTCTCTCAATTACCATGTTGCAAAGATTGTCCATAGGTTTTGAGGGGAAAGGATTAATTCAGAGAGAGAGAGAGAGAGAGAAAGAGAGAGGAGAGAGAGAGAAGGGCAAGGGAGAGGAGGAAAAGAGAGAAGAGGGAGAGGAGGAGAAGAGAGAAGAGGGAAAGGAGGGGAGGGGAGGAGGAATGGGAAGGGAGGGGAGGGGAGGAGAGGGGAGAGGAGAGGAGGAGAAAGCATAACAGCATCATTCATGTTTCCCAACACTGTTTACAGAACATCACTCCTCCCCCAATGTCATGGGTGAGTGCTGTAGAGCCATCTCACCTTAGCTCCTAACTCATCAGTGTCATCTATAGACCTCCATGCTTATCTAGGCCTTTGGCTTTTGGGATGCATTTTCTTTCAAACACTAGTTCCCCTATCATCTTGGGGATCAGCAGTGTCGATGTGGTTTACAACTCCAACATTCCAGCATATTTCTATTATGTCCACTGCCCAGTGATCTTTCTCACCTGCCCGCTCTCCTAGCCATCCCCCTAAACATTATAATTTCCTCACACTGTCTCACTTCTAAAATCTCAAGTTTTAGTAACTCACTCTCACTTCCCATATTCTTTCCCTCTCATTCTCTTACACTGAGTGTGTTTACTCTTAGATTCATTAGAATTTTTTGATCTTTTGTCAGTTCACTTCATAGTCTAGCATTGCTTCGAAAATCCAGAATAAACCTCCTCTTCCACTCTCAGCAGCTAAGCTGTTACCTCTTTCTCAGCTCCTTATAATACTTCTTCCAACTTTCTCTCAGCAATGGCTATACCATGAGAAATCTTAGTGACAAAAACTCCTGTAAGCACAGCCCTCACCTAAAACTACATGTGCTTTGGCATCCATTCTCCTCCTCCTTTTCTCCTATAGGCAGAAAAACTGTTGTTGTTTTATCTATTTAAAACCTCTCTACTTTGTGTAATTTAGTTTCCTTCTCCTTTCTCCTGGAACAAATTTCCAACAATCCATTTTCACTCCATTCTTTTAACTTCTCTTTCTCTACTGAGTCCTGTTTACTCCCACTGTGAGGATCTTATTTTGGACCTACATGGTTGTGTTGTCTCTAGACTGCACCCTGGCTCTTCCGCTACTGCCGTCCGCACACAGTTCCTCTGTCTTCCTGATGGCTGTCAGAACAATCTTCTTGTACACTGAAATCTGAACATATCACTGCCATGCTTTATACGTACAAAGCACAGTGGTTAGAAAGAAAGTACTCAATCAATATTTACCCAATACATCCAGTGGAAAACTTTCCAGTGAGGACACTGACTTCTAGTTTTCGAAAGTTGCACAGACATGGATGAAGGGTAAATGACAAAAGGACCCTGATTTAAAACCTAGGTCTTCAAGTTTCACTAGAAACAGAAACTCCATTCTCTTTACATGGTCCACATTAACTGGACCCTAATTATTAGAGTTCCTTTTATTTATATCCATTCTGACATCGTTAATTTCCCACCTACCCTTCCTTGCAACTGTGGACTCTGAGCTCTGGATTTCTCTTTCACATCGAATAAAGAAGCTTTGCTTTTTACGCTTGGGTGGGTGACTAAGACTTTCTAAACTAACATATTCACCTTCTGTGTTCTGGGTTGCTTTCTAGCTCCTCTTCATCTATCAGGCGATATAAGCCAACACACAGGATTCCAAGAATATTTAATGAGCCACAGAACAGTTGTCCAAAGGTGTCTCTTGGCTGAGGAGAGAAGGGAAAAATGAATGTCTACCAGACATTTTGATCAAGCAATAACAGGCACTCACTGGAGTGTCATTTGCCTTTCCTTAGAGTAGTAGCTTTGACCCTACAGCCATACCCTCATATCTTTATGGTGGCAGTGTCAAGGGTCTAGGCAATGAAATGTATGCTTAGTTTTGATACTCTAAACCCAGTGATTGGTTTTATTGTTCTAGCTCTTTCAAAAGCCTCTGGTGGGTGTGGTTGTGGCATGTTGTTGTGCTTGTCTTTGTTACCATTGCTGTTCAGGTGACCACTATAAATTAGCCATGAGTGAAAGGTTGGGAAATTCAGCCTTTAAGGTATATAATGAGTTAGGATTTAAATGACCTCCTGAGAGTCATCTTCTTATCCCATTCTAAAACCAATCACGGCCCCAAGCACTTGTCTTGTCATTGCTATAACAACCTAAGGTCACTAAGAGTAGAAAACATGTTCAAAATCCTGTAGCAGCAAATGGGTTCAGTAAAGTCAAAAGAGAACAGTCTGTTTTGTTCTGTGATTACTCAGGGTAGAGAATAAAGTAAGGAGAAGACATCAATGGAGAGAGGAGTGGGGGCCAGTCTACCGCCCTCTCTGATGCCCATAGGAAGCTTCCAGGGGCAGTTTTCTGGGCCTATATTCACTCACAAGTCCACTGGAGGTGAGGAATCCAGGGCCACAGGCATGCAAATGTCCATACCATAGTGAGGGAGCTTTTGGAATGAGGTTTGCGTCAGGAATGCAAATGAACTCATCCTGCTTGGTAGCACATGTTGACACACACCAGGCACTGAGGCCTTGAAGAATGTGCTTCTTGTGCAGAGGGAGGTCTGCTGATGTCCTCTCAATCAACAAAAAATATTTCCTTGCAGAGGACTGCCCCAGCAACAACACTGGACAGCAGAACGTAGAGCCAATCAAACTCAACCAAAAGGCACCACACTGAAAAGTAGATTACTCATTTTCAACCTAGACTCTACTTTGATTTCCAAATGCCTAGATGCCCCTTGGAATTTTCCAGAGTTATTAGGTTTTCCATTGCTATAATTTACTGTTCACCAGATCCCTGAGCTAAGAAAACCCAAGCATTTTCTACTGGCCGAGTTGAGTCAGATTCTTAGATATAAACGTAGAATCCTTCTGCCTGATTTCAGCTAACCTGATCAGATTTCTTTAGATCAGTTATAGGGAAAGAGGGCAAACCTGGGGTCAGACTGCAGACCTGGAGTCAGACTGCCTTAGATGGCTCCCTGCTCTGACATTGGTTTATCCCTGTTTCTCTGGGCCTCAGCTTCTTGATCTATTATATATTATAGCATTAATGACAATGCCTACCATATAAACCCTTGGACAGATCAAGTGAAAAAAAACTATAGTGGACAAGCACAGACAAATTACTCAGTAAACATTAGCTATTATAATTATTATTAATACACTTGTCAAGGTACAAAGTTATTGAACATCTGATACTTCCTACAGATTTAGTTTATTTATCAGGAAGATGGAAGTAATAACAACTGCTTTGACTGTCTTCCAGGATTGTTGTAAAAATAAATATAGTACATAAACACGCTGTGATCTGTAAAATACTCAAATATAGAGTTACAATTTTTTTGTTAATATAATTGTTAGTATTTCTGTGCTACAGGTCATCTATGAACTCAAATGGGCTGGATTATTTCCAGAAACTCTGAGCTGTAAGGAAGTAGAAAACTATTATGATAAGAGAAGACTCACTTGAATGTCTGACAAAATGGTTTCGTTTAAGGACAGAAGTCCCAGCTTACACCGGGTTCTTCCAGACAAGAACGTTATGCTGCTGTTGGTGTCGGTTATATCAGAGAACTTGCCCTTATCCAGATGTTGTTCTAGCTGAGAACTTATCCCTCCTGTCACCAGCATCTGAAGTAATTCCAAGACATGATAATTGTAGAAAGCCTGGAAAGCAAGGACAAGGCATGTGCAAAGTTAGAAGAGCTAATATGCGAATGGTGAGAATGAATAGATATTTAGTGAGCATCATTGTTTAAAAAAGGCCTGAAGGTGCACTGCAGTGTTTCTCATCATCTTTGATAAAATCCATGAGAAGTTGGAAGTTTGGGTAAGGTGCTAAGCTAGACAAAATGCAGAGAAAACCCTGACCTATTTTCTGCTTCCTTGGAGCTTACATTGCAGATGAAGAAGAAAGTGGATAATGATACTGACATCAGGGACGGCCCTTTTTCACAAAAGATCAGAGGAGAGTGTCAGGCTACAGATACCCTAATAATTATCAATTTATGTTTAAAAATACACATGTTTAATAAGAATTTCTATAGATTTTCCCCTAAGTGTCTACTAATATTATTGTCATCTATACTTGAGTTTTCTGGCATCTACTTATAACCTTTTTTCTAATTTTTGAGAAAAGGTCCCACTCTGTCATCCCAACTGGAGTGCAATGGCACAATCCTGGTTCACTACAAGCTTGATCTCCTGGGCTTAGTCAGTCTTCCCAACTCAGCCTCCTGAGGAGCTGGGATCATAGTTTGCCACAACATCTACCTAATTTTTTTTATCTTTTGTGGAGACAAGGTATCACTATGTTGCTCAGGCTGGTCTCAAACTTCTGGGCTCAAACAATTCTCCCACCTTGGCCTCCCAATACTTGTGAACACATATTGACTTAAGTCTTATAATATTTGAATTTCCCATAGCTCTTACTGTGTACTTCAGAAATTGTAGGAGCTAAATAAGTAAATGAATCTTTGGTACTAAAATGAAACCAGAGGAGGACATGTGGGCCAATTTTGTATTTTGAAACAGGCTTGAGTCTGAATTATACCAGCTATTTCTGTAAAGTGTATTTCCCCATGAGTCCTACCACATTCAGTGTAGACTAGGCATTAATATACATGAAGATGTAGTTGTAATATATGACTCATTAGCTTTTTTCAAGTTTATACAATATAAAACATTTTAATTTCTACCCTTTGCCTTATCTAAATCAGACTTTTGCTCCATTAGAAATAAGAATTTCAGCCGGGCTTGGTGGCTTAGGTTGTAGTCCTGGGCTTTGGGAGGCTGAGGTGAGTGGATTACCTGAACCTGAGGGTTCGAGACCCACCTAGGCAACTTGGCAAGACCTCATCTCTACAATAAATCAAAAAATTAGCCGGGGGTGGTAATGCGTGCCTGTAGTTCCAGCTACTTGGAAGGCTGAGGCAAAAGGATTGCTGGAGCCCAGCAGGTAGAGGCTGCGGTGGTCGGGAGCGGCCACTGCACTCCAGTCTGGGCAACGGAGTGAGACTCCAACTCAAAAAAAAAAAAAAAAAAAGAAATGAGAATTTCTATTTTCATATATTCCCTATAGAAAAGTAGTATTATACTTCTTTTTATAATACATAATTAGAAATGACTATAAGTATTATTGTTTTAGAAATTTGACCATTCATGCTTTTTCCTCCCAAATTCAGGGATTCATCTTCTGAAGCCTGGATTACCACAGTAACTCTTATCTAGCTGTCCTGCCTTGCTTTTTTCTCATCTGCTATTTATTGTTAATAAATTCTTCCATAGTGATTCTTCAGAATCACAAATCAGATCCTACCTCCACCTCCTCTATCCTTTAATGTCCTGTTTTAAAACCAGGCCCATACTCCTCACTGTGACCTTCAAAACCTTCATGATTTGATACAACCTTCCTTCCCAGGCTCCTCTCCTCCATGAACTGTTCTCTCGAGTGCAAGTGAGTCTGTCTGTGGTTGCTCAAGGCATCCTTTCACTCCTTCATGCTTTTGCTTTTGAGCATCTGGTTCATCTCCCACCATCTTGGTCCCTCTTTTCCGGGCCTCCTTATCAGAATGCAGTTTTTCTTTCTTTGTGATTTCATGGTCACTGAATTTTACTCTATTTAATTCTTCTGTATTTTATAGTAAGTTGTTTCCATGAAACACACTTGAATTTGAATCTTAAACTATCCCATCCTTGCTTGCTGCCTTTGGGCAATTCATGTATTCTTTTTCAGCAACAGTTTCATAATCTTTAAAGTTGACATAACATCCCTCTTTCAGCATTTTTTGCATGAGTGAATAAATTCACTGGACACTTTGCTAAATTCTATTCTCTTTGTCATTGGTACTCATGTATCTGGATATTTGGAGTGATATTAATGAGTGTAGATTTCTGGGATCCCAGATCTCCTGGATCAGAATTTATGGATAGGAGTGGAAAGCAGAATTTAAAGAGCACCCTGAATTTCTGACATGGATAGTCCTCAGATCAGACTGAGCACTACTTCCTTAAAATTATGTGCTCCTTCAGAAGATAAACTTGTCTACTTAATCTTCACGTCCTTAGGAATGCATTGAAAACTGATAAGACTATTGACTGCAATGGGTAGCTGATTTTTTTTTTTCTTTTGAGTTGGAGTCTCACTGTCGCCCAGACTGGAGTGCAGTGGCCGCTCCCGGCCACCGCAGCCTCGACCTGCTGGGCTCCAGCGATCCTTCTGCCTCAGCCTTCCAGGTAGCCGGAATTACAGACGCGCACTACCACGCCCGGCTAATTTTTTGATTTATTGTAGAGATGAGGTCTCGCTGCCCAGGCGGGTCTCGAACCCGCGGGCTCAGGCAATCCACTCACCTCAGCCTCCCAAAGGTGCAGGATTACAGGCTGAGCCACCGAGCCTGGCTGGGTAGCTGATTTTTAACAAACAAATATTGCTAGTAAAATGTGAAGGTGAGTGGGATGAGTTGATCTAACAAATAATATCTATATAAATTAAGAGAAAATAAAAATAACTTTTACAACACTTTTCAGATTAAAAGATGACTTCACTCTAGTCTCCAGACTAAGAGAATCCCCTGAGCAATGGCTTCTTCTTTAGGTTTCTTCTTTGTCATTCCCATGGCCATCCAGAAGGGTTCTTAAGGACTCAGGTCCCTGACACCCAGGAGGGAGTGGAGGATGTAAATCCAGGTTGAGCCATGATCTGTTTAAGAACATGTGGCCATAGTGTAGCGTGATCAAGCATATGGCTGTTTGAATAATTCTCCAGTGATTAAAGAAAATGTGTAAATTCTAGGGTTATCCTGGTGTCAACAGCTCTAGGGAGGTACATGCTTTACATTTTTAACTGAGACAGGTTTAGTTTTTTAATATATTATTTCTTCAGTTTGACATCAAAAGGATTGCAATTCAATGATGAGGAAAATAACGTGATTTATATGTCCCCTTAATTCTGTGAACTCATAATTCTTATCATTTCAAGTTCTCTGGTATTGACTTTCCTCAACCTCTCTTTCTTTCCTTCTTTCTCCCTTCCTCTCTGCTTCCCTTCCTCCTTTCCTCCCCTTCCTTCCTTCTCTTCCTTCCTTCCTTCCTTCCTTCCTTCCTTCCTTCCTTCCTCCTGTCCTCCCTTTTTTGGAAAGCTAAGAAGGGAGTATCACCTAAACCCAGGAGGTCGAGGTTGGGGAGAGCTGTGACTATGCCACTGTACTCCAACCTCGGTGACAGAGAAAGCCTCTGACTCTTAGATTTCTAAGTGGTGATAAGTTCACAGCACATTATTGTAGGCTTTGATGCCTCCTTGGGAGTCCTTGAACATTCTTTCTCATTGGTGCTTATTGGAATTATGGTAAGAAAAATGTGCAAAAATGCTGTTAAGCTTTCGGAGCATGCATGGGAAGGAAGAGGGCCCTTAACAGTAGGTCAGAAATACAGTTTGTCAGGACTGAGTCAGGACTGGTGCTCACATTTGTTTCTGAAAGTGCTAAAGTGTTAGCCTTTTTTCCTGGGACAGTCTATTCCAAATGCATGTTTGTTTCCTCGCCATTCTGTGTAGTGTGGGAATCAGGAAAACAGACATTTTGAGTATAATTATAACCTCTGACTATGTAGTAATGAAACACAAATCTCTTAGTGAATTAAGCTGGGCCTCAGGTTGGAAGGGCCAAACCTGGAAGATGGTCTTGGAAGAGATCTTAAGGGATAAAAGGGACATGAAAAATGGGGCAAAAGGGCTAACTCCTGCCTCCCATATGAGTTTTCTGACTGTAAATTGGAAATTAGTCTAGAAATAGAGGAGAACGGGATTCTGTTTAAGTTGCCCCTCTCTGTTGGTCCTTTATTCTAACTTCAAGGGAATGGTTTTAAAAATCTTCTTAATGACAGAAATCTCTCTTCCAATCAAATCTTGTGCAGGTTCCTTACATATGACACTATGATGAAAGTAGAGTTACTTGATCGAGGGAGAGTGTAGGTGGACAAGGCGCGGTAGGCAGATCCTCACCTCCTTCTCCCTGCCTGTCACCAGCAACTACCAGGCACTCTCAAAGATGGATTCCTCTAAGCTAAACTTAAAAACACTGTGTTGGAAGGACACTAATAATCACTGAAATAGGTTAGGTTTCTCGAGAGGCCATTGGCTGTGGCAGTGAGGTCTGACTCTGGGATTGTATGCATTTGGGCCTGACAATCAACTCATTATTTGTAAGTGATGCAACCTTTGGTAGATTACTTACCCCACTAAGTCTCCATGTTTGACAGGAGAATCAGACAAGGTAATGTATTTAACAGAGTTCTTGACACTAAGCAAATGCTTAAGAGATGTCTTTACTCTTTCTAAGGCAGATATTGCTATTATTATTATTATTATCATCTTAACAATGAAACTCATCAAGAAAAGTTGCCTAGAGGGCCAAGCCAGGAAAGACTCATAGCTATGATCTAGGGAAGAAGACTTGTGCTCATCAGTGATGTCTGCCATGGGGATCAGACACGGGGGTGTTAGCCAGGAGGCCCATAACTGCTGTGCAAACTTTATGGGGAAATCAGTCTTTGGCCTCCTACCAAGCCTCATCGAAGAGATTCTCTGACATGTGTGGAGAATAAAATGGAATGATCTGAAGTCATCAGAGTGACTCCACATGTTTTAAGTGGAAGATAATAAATACATGTTCCCTTTCTCTCTGAGCCTATTTTCATGTGACCAGCTGGCAAGATCAGGAGTCCAGCCAAGATCACATCATACACAGAAGAGAAGAGAAAATGGAATTGGAGGAGTAACCCTGACCATAGGTTTCTTTGAGTTCTTTCTTTTTGTATGGATGATATGGTAGAAAGTCACCCCCACCCTTATAAGGGCAAGTAGAACTAGTAGTATTAGAAATAAGACTGGACAGCATTCACTGAAGGTTTTCAATAGTCTAGTTCAGCTCACCATTAAAATAGTGTTAAAATGTGTTCATGTTGCTACTCTATACATCATTAAAGGTTCAAAAACTGGGATAGAGGCCACTGGGTAGAGATTTAGAGGTTTAAACTTCAAGCTAGCACCCTTAACATAACGCACAACTTCTACCCTGATGCTCCATTGCCATCTCTCCTCCAATCAAAGTGACCAATATCAGTCCTAAATTAAGTACTTACCAGGAGTTCTTAAGGGAAAGCTGACAATCCAATGTAGGTTGTCACCTAATGTGACTACCCCTATATCAGGCCACACTGTGGTACTCTCTCTCTTTCCAACAGACTTTACTATAAGGTGTCAGAAAGACCCCATGAATTTTTATGTAGTCCATTTTGTTTTCCAGCAACAATCATTCTCTTACACTGATGAAGCCCACTGACACAATATTTGAAAGCAGCCTGGGAAGAAGCGGCACTCCTTAGACTGCCTGAGGCCGACGTCATGCTAATACTGACTGATGGGAAGCACCAGTAGGCCCAGCTGTCAACACCCGATTCTGGACTCTTATTACCAAGTCTGTGTTTCCCATGCTGGCTTGTGTTGTATGTTCTCTGGTTTTTATCTCTACCTCTCCAGGCTTTCCCTGTCCAGCCTGCCTTTCCAACCAAATCTAAATTGAATCTGTGGTGTTATTCCTGGCTATGCGGGCTGGTGGAGTTTAATCAAGTCTCAAGTTTAATTCAAAGCAGAAGCCATCTGCTATCTAAGGATCCTTGAAGAGACCTGGGACCTGAAACCCCTCTATAGATAGGTCAAGTGCATAAAAAAATCACTTTTTGTTTGATACTCCAGTCATTAATTCCAAGAGAGTTAATTGACATATCAGTGACAGACAGTGATACAGCACTTTCTCTGAGAGCTATCATCTCAGACAAGTAACCCAACTTGACTTTCTCCAAAGCATCCCTGCCTGGCTCATTCAAGGCTTAGTGCTGCTTAATTCTTTAGGAGCCTTGCAGTTTACCAACTTGTTTAATGTTAAACTTACACTGATGCAGGGTTTTGCTTCTGAGAGCTCACTGAGGTTTATGAGATCCCCGCTAGGGCTTAGGGGCACAGTTCAAGGCAAGAACACGATCCCCCCAGTACTGAATGGCATTGATGTCACGAGGGGGAGGCATGTACCTAGTCATACTCCCCTAAATGTGCAAACTGTGCCTTTGAGGCACCCCTACAATTCAGGAATAATACCTCTCTGCATGGAGTTCAGAAGGCAGCAAGTTCATCAAACTGTTCTCTTGCATTTAAGCATCTGCATATTGACATTCAGACATTTTGCCACCTATCCCTTGAACAATCTGGGTAGGAGGAGTCTGTGAAGTGGTGGGTCATGTGGATTTCCTTTGAAGAAGTTCTTGCAGTCATTCACAAGTTGAAGGTCTTGGTCAATTTCAAATTCCTTGAACTGCGCCTCCTACCAGCCAACTCCCACCTTACCACCTCGGCCTGGAGTATTTCCTCCCCGAAGCTCTGAAAGCCGTGTTTCTTCTTCTTTTCCAGAACTGGGCTCATGTGCCACCTTCTCAGTGCCACCTTCCCTGGCCACGTGACTGAAACTTGCAGCCCCTTCCCCAAACTCTACATTTCCATTCTCACTTCTCTTGAGCCCCTGTGATAGCATTCCTGTGTGTTACACATTTATCATGTGCATATCAGTCTCCTCTATGCAGGAAGACTCCACGTGGTGAAACCTCTGTCACTCTCATATTGCAGTGTCGCCTGCACCAGGGACAGTGCCCAGTGCAGAGTAGGTGTTTAATAGGCATTCGTATAAACAAACGCATTCCACTTAAGGAAACCCTGCCATGGATGCAAAATATCTTCTTGGTGGCTAAAGAGATGTTGAAAACTAAGAACAACCAAGTAGTCAACAATGCCCCTGTGAAACGGGCAATGTGGGGGGAGATTTGACTTAGTTCTGAACAAAACTCAGACGACCAGAGGCCAGAGTTTCTTCCCTGAAATCCCCGGATCCCACATGAACAATTCCACATGAACAATTGATGATAATTTAGAGAAAAGAGAAAGTGGTATCTCCCAAGCTCTGACACCAAAGGACCTGGTCTGCAGAAAGGTACTTGGAGCTGAGAGGACGGCACTAACTCCTCCTGGCAGCTGATGGTCCTGCTCCAAGGGTCTCAAGTTTTTAATCTTGAAAATGTTGTTCCTCTCATCAAATAGTTGTGAGAAAAGTTGAAATGTTGCATGCAAGCCAGCTTTTTTAGGCAATCAAAGAGATCTTTGAATTGTGAGGTGTGATCATCTACTCAGCCAGACCCCACACACTCACTGTTCTGGAAGGGACTTGGTTTTCGGGGGTTCTGTGGCCTAGCTTTCCTTACCGTGGCCAGGAGGGAATCTAAGAAGTTGCCAGAAAAGACAGTGCCAGTGGAAAAGGCAGTGCTGAGATGCAGGTTTGTCCCTCGGAGTGACCCTTCCAGTCCACCAAGTTGTTCAATAAAGTGAATGTTGGAAGGATTTTCTGCAAGACAAAAGAGGCAAAAAGGAAGTGGAAGAAGACAAGTTTAAAAATACAGAAACTGTGATCGAAGGTAGGCCAAGGTGTGGTCACATGACCATAGGATCTGATGCCTACTTTGGAGTCTCTGTGGGATTTACCCTAGTCCAGTAATTTTTTTTTTCCTATCCAAATATCTTACTCCCCTAAAGACATGTATCCCTGATGCACACCTTTACCATTAAGGGGACATTTCTGTACCACATCAGGCTCAGTTTCTCCTGAAAAGTGTCCTGATTGTCATCCTTATGTAACTGATCCTTCAAACAGGACACTTTTGGGAGTAAAAGGGAGTACTCTCAATAACTGCACTGTGATCACAGGCACAAACTGGAACACATGATCACCTCAATTATAGTATTTTCTCATAATAGTATGCTCTAGATTACTTGGTATTTACTTGGATTCCTAAAGTTATCTGAGCCCAGTGCCTCTCGAAACAATGTTGGAAGAATCACTTGGGGGTCTGATTACAATGCAGATTCTGACTCACACTGGCTCTAGGGTAGGGACCAGATGTATATATGCCCAGCAAGTTTCCAGATACTACTGATTCTGTTGATTTATGGATCACACTCTGTGTGGCAAAGGTTTAGAGAATCTTCCTAATTGAGTTCAGTGCAGTAGTAGCCAAAAATCCATTAGCATGTCTATGCTGGCCCCAGGCTTCAACCCAGATCCCTGCAGGCAGCTCTTGAAGTGAACACAACTGGTCACTGTTGGGCGTGAGAGCAGAGTCTGCCTGTGTGCCTAGACTCTTGCTTCAAGAAAATCTGTTTAGAGAACTGCATTGGAAGACAGAGATGATGTCTCACTAGAGCAAAGAGGAGGCATTGTTACTGTCCTTTATAAGAGATTCTGGTTTCCTAAGCTCAGGTTCCTACTCTAAAAGGCCATCCACTGTGGGAACAGGTGTCACCTGGACCTCTTCATGTCACCCTGTGGGAAGCAGGGCTTGGGCAACCAGCACAAAAATGATAATACTCTGGCTACTGTTATTGCTGTAAGTAATAAACTGCTGCTTGGGCTTTCCTGCCTCCCCCCCAACCCCCCGCAGGCCAGGTCTTGTGTCTTCTACCAATATCCATGAGACTATGGCAGGTTAACTTGTTGGTTTGTGAGTAGAATAAAGACTTAGACGCTCCACAGTTCTTGACACTAGAGTTCATGATATTATTAACAAAAACAAAACTGCTGGACACACAACTCTGAATACATTCCTTACCAAGACTGGATCATTCCCTAATTCCTTAAGTTATTTATTAGTAAATTCATGGGGAATGACATACTGGTGTTCTGAATCACTTTCTTTTGAGAACAGCATTATTTTTATAAAAGATGAGCAAGATGGATGGACTTGGAGTCAATCACACTCAGTGATTTATCACAGAAACAAAGAACAGCATTCCATATGTTCTCACTCATAAGAGGACCTTGAACAATTATAATGCTATAAGAAAGCAATTGACAGTAATGGGAAACTGTTAGGGGAGGGGAATGGGATTGGCAGTTGAGCGAAACTGCTAAGAGAGGGAGGGGCATAGCTCATCAACAAGGGTACCTGCATGATCAATGTTTGTATACCTAACCCTGAAGTGTACCACGCATCTTTATAATAAAAATTAAAAAAAAAAGACAAGCAAGATGACTGTCAACCCACATTCCTCTCCTTGCATTTCTAACCTCAGCATACACACACACACACACACACACACACACACACACACACACACACACACACCATGAGCCTTTGTCCAAATCTTGCTGTGTCATGCTAACTCAGCAGCCTCAGCTTTCCTAGTCATTTTCCTGCAGACCATGCTCCATTTTGTACCAAAGTGCTGGGATAAGGCCTGCAGTTTTCATGTCAACATGGTCCTTTCCAGTCAGACAAAAAGGACTTAAGAGAGTTGGCAGGTAACTTGTTAGACCAGCTTGACAAGGGCTGCCTGGTGCCAGAAAATCTTTTTTTTTTTTTTTTTTTGAGTTGGAGTCTCACTCTGTTGTCCAGACTGGAGTGCAGTGGCCACTCCCAGCCAGCGCAGCCTTGACCTGCTGGGCTCTGGCGATCCTTCTGCCTCAGCCTTCCGAGTAGCCAGAATTACAGGCATGCGCTACCACGCCCGGCTGATTTTTTTATTTTATTGTAGAGATGAGGTCTCGCTGCCCAGGCAGGTCTCGAACCCGCGGGCTCAAGCAATCCACTCACCTCAGCCTCCCAAAGGCACGAGATTACAGGCTGAGCCACCGAGCCCGGCCAGAAAATCTTTAGTGGAACAAAGCCTGTAAGTCCCTGGAGAGTGACCAGACACATGGCTGGGCTGATTTTTCCCAAAAAGACTCTAACTTATAGTCTTCTTCAAATTAACATATTTAGTGTATACGGTAGGCCCTCTATATCTGCAGATTGAATCCAAAGATTTGAATTCCAAACTGCAGATTTGAATTCCAAACTGTGATGGAAACCCATAAATACAAAAGAGTCAAACGTACTTTGCCATTTTATTTTATTTTATTTTATTTATTTTTTTGAGTTGGAGTCTCACTCTGTTGCCCAGACTGGAGTGCAGTGGCCGCTCCCGGCCACCGCAGCCTCGACCTGCTGGGCTCTGGCGATCCTTCCGCCTCAGCCTTCCGAGTAGCCGGAATTACAGGTGCGCGCTACCACGCCCGGCTGATTTTTGATTTATTGTAGAGATGAGGTCTCGCCAAGTTGCCCAGGCGGGTCTCGAACCCACGGGCTCAGGCAATCCACTCACCTCAGCCTCCCAAGGCACAGGATTACAGGTTGAGTCACCGAGCCCAGTGTACTTTGCCATTTCATATAAGGGACTTGAGCTCTGTGGATTTTGGTATCTGGGAGAAGTGTGTGTGTGTTGGGGGGGGTTGCAGAGAGCAGAGGCACAGAAGGGTGGGTCCTGTAATCAATTCCCCCACAAATAAAAAAGGTCAACTTAATACACCTGAGGACTTGAAGAGTGTCTGCTCCAAGTTCCAGGGTGCTTAGACTGTCTCCCACCTGCTGAACTATTGCTCCCAGCTTACGTGGTGGAGAGATCTACGGATTCCTCTCTGTGTTCCCTCTCTTCATTTCTTGGACTAAGAGTGCTGTTCATCTCATTTGGCATAAGTTCCATTGGCTTAGATACTCTAAATCATAAAAGCCTACTAAACATTTTGCTGTTTAATAGAATCAGGTCAAATTACACCCGGGACAAACTTTAAAATTCATCTCTGAATTGATTTGATCTGTGTTAAAAACATTGTTCCTCTCTCCTTTGGTATTTTTGTCTTTTCTCCTCAACCATTCTCAGTAGTAAATTCCAGTGTGTCCCTTGATGCCCAAGAAATGCCCTTCCCCCCACACAATACACACAGGCAACTTTCTCTGTCTTCCTCACACTTGCTTTCTGAACCCACAGCTCCTTGTCTCAAGGGAAATTTCATACAGGTATTGGCGAGAGGTAACAGGATAGGCTGTTTTTCTCCAAGAGGTTTTCCATTTCAGGAAAACAACACTAAGGACTGGGCTTAAGATGACGTAAGGGAGATACCTGACACCCTATATTTAAGGACTTCAGAGTGAGCACCTCCTCTAAGTCTGCAGCTTACATGCCTCTCCTGCCTTACCCTGATTCCAGCCCTGGTATCACTGCCGGAAAGGAAGCCATCTGGCCTAAAGTCCCGAGATGGGATAGATAAATTGGTACAGGGAGATCCTGTCTAGCAGTCTTCAAATCCAGTTCCCTCCCTCTGAATTGGACTGAGCCAGTTACTGGTCTCCCTTCCTCTCCTGGTAACTGGAAGGTGGAGAAGGCAAATGTTTTCCCTACAACCTGATACCCAGATATCACAGGTTCCTCTATGCTGTCCCCAGTTGGGTAAAAGCTCATTGTAACATCAAGCCAAGTACTCAAAGCTTTGTGTCCTTTTGAGTTCCTCAGTCCCTTGACTGTAGATTCTAAAAAGAAACTTGGGGCATCAATTATGCATCACAAAATTTCTCCCTTGAGTTTTGCCATAAAAACACAACTTACTCAATTCAGTGAGGATGGGAACTCTTCGAGTTTTTGGATTCTCATGAAGTTCATCTAAGTAGACACAGACAATAAAAAGAAGAAAAGAGATGATAAATACAAACATAATGCTTTCAAAACTAGACGAGAATATAAAGGAACATCATGTAACTTGGTGCTTTATCTCAGCAAAGTTACTCTTATACAAATCCAAAATATTTTTCTACAGTGGGAGCCAAAAATGTATACATATTTTAAGAAAGGAAAAATACTGTATCAAAATTGTAATAGTCAACATATACTAATAACAAAATATAAATAAAAGTTAAGTTTGACTTCCGCAATTACAGAAAAGGTTCAAGGTGGTTACCATCGGCATCCAGACACTTCTGATTATGGCAAGCTAAAAGTAATAAATAGATAACATCTCTTAAAATGTGCATACTTTTTTTGGCACCCCTAGTATATTTAGAAAAAATATATATTATTTGGGTCTCCTCAGCATCTCTTTTTGAGAAATGTGGGCTGTGTGTGTTTGTGTGTGTGTGTGTGTGTGTGTGTGTGTGTGTGTGTGTGTGTGTGTGTGTGTGTGTGCTTCTTTTTTAAAAACTTATCCTGGCCACACTCAGAGGCTTAGCCTGTAATCCCAGCACTTTGGAAGACTGAGGCCAGTAGATAGCCTGAGCCCACGGGTTCAAGACCTGTCCGGGCAACTTGGGAAGACCTTGTCTCTACAATAAATCAAAAATTAGCAGGGCCCAGTAGTGCATGCCTGTAGTTCTGGCTACTTGGAAGGCTGAGGCTGAAGGATCCCCAGAGCCCAGAAGGTCATTGCTGGGGTGGCTGTGAGCATGCCACTGCACTCCAGCCTGGGCAACGGAGTGAGACTTCAACTCAAAAAAAAAAAAAATTATCCTGATCATGGTATCTCTCCTGCCAGGTAAATATTAAAAAATCATTTTTATTTCATTTTATTTTTTAGACAAGATCTTACTCTGTCACTCAGGTTGGAGTTCAGTGGTATAATCATAGCTTATTGAAGCCTCGAACCACTAGGCTCAAACAATCCTCTTGCCTTAGCCACCTGAATAGCTGAGACTATAGGTGTGCTACCACATTGGGCTAACTTTTCAAATTTTGTGTAAAAATGGAGGTCTGATTCCATTTTCTAGGTTGGTCTTGAACTTCTGGCATCAAGTGATCCTCCTACCTTGTCCTCCTAAATAGTTGAGACTACAGGTGCACATTACCATGCTCAGCTAATATTTTTATTTTATTTTGTAGAGACAGGGTCTTGTTATGTTGCCCAATCTGGTCTGGAACCCCTGGCCTCAAGCAATCCTCCGGCTTCAGCCTTCCAAAGTGCTAGGATTACAGGCATGAGCCACCACAACCAACAATGTGTGTGTTTTCTAAATGACACTTTAAACGAAACAAAAAAGGCAAAGTTCTCCCAATAGTTACTTATTGACATCACAAATAAGACACGATTATTCTCCAGAGAGAGGCTGTGCTGGGTAATGACTCAGTCAGGAAATGCCTCAAACCACATCAATTTGCTCATAAAACTTTTAGGAAACTGTAAATAAATGGATAGGGCTGCCCTCATGAGTATTTCTGGATACATTCCCCCTGGCTCTGGCTCCTGGCACTTGTTGCCTTTCTGATACCCTCTCTGGGCTGAGGCACTGCTTATGTCTCTGCAGAACTGGCTTCCTTCCCTTATGGTAAGCCTGCCTCCACCTGGAAGACCTTGGGGTTTCTTAAAGACAGGAATGGAATGTCATTTAGAGTCATTGACCTCTGTGCTCAGTTTATGGACACATTATCCTCCTGTCTTAAAACAGGAGCCTACAACCCCTGGGTCACGGACTGGTACTGGTCTGTTACCTGCTAGGAACCGGGCCACACAGCAGGAGGTGAGAGGTGGGTGAGTGAGCGAAGCTTCATCTGTATTTACAACCGCTCGCTTGCTGTAGTTCACATTACCACCTGAACTCTGACTCTTGTCACATTAGCAGCAGCATTAGATTCTCATAGGAGCACGAACCCTACTGTGAACTGTGTGTGTGAGGGATCTGGGTTATACACTCCATAGGAGAATCCAATGCCTGATGATCTGACGTAGAGCTGGGGAGTGGCTGAAAATGCAGATTAACAGTAGCAGTGAGGTTTGACTGCCCAGAGATCATGATAAATCAATTACTTGCAGACTTCATCAAAATCCTATCAGTGAGTGGTAAATGAGTTGTACTCAACTGCACAGCTGCATCTGGTAGCAGGCTTAAAGGCAGAATCCGACACTTATTTAAGTCTGTGCATGGTCTGCCCATTATTTTATTTACCATTTCCATCCACACCTCTCTTTTTTATGGTGAGTTGTATAATTATTTCACTATTTATTACAATGTAATAATAATTTAAAAAGTACACATTAAATGTTATGCACTTAAATAATCCTGAAACCACCCCTCCGCCCTGTGTCCATGGAAATTATCTTCTATGAAACTGGTTTCTGATGCCAAAGAGGTTGGGGACCACTGCCTTAGGAGATAAGTCACTTCATTCACATCTGTGAGCCTCAACTCCAAAACAGAGTTAATGTTCTCCTTTTCCTTATTCTTTCCTCCCTCCCTAATCTCCAACCTAACCTCCTCCCTTCCTTGCTTCCTCCTTCCTCCCTTTCCTTCCTTCCTTCTTTCCTTCTTTCCTTTCTTCCTTCCTTCCTTTCACAAATACTTAAAGCATATCTACTCCTAGGACTGTGGACAGTCCCTGCTCTAATTACTATTACATTTTTTAATTAAAATTAATTTTTTAAAAAAAATTTAAGCACTGGCCTGAAACACAGCTTTGATACCAGAAGCATGATACCAGAGGCTTAGTCTCCAAGTTAAACTATACATGTAAAGAAAGAAAAGGAAATAGAGAAATGGGAAAATAGAGTGCAGTTAAAAAAAAACATACAATTATCATACGTTACACTTTAAAACTATTGGTTATTTTTCTTGTACTTTCATGAGAGTAAGAGAGAAAAAATACTGTGAATGTTCAAGGTCTACTTGCAATCAAGACTCCTTGGGAAGGAGGTAACGTCACTGGAGGGTCCTTTGTTTACAGATCGAGGTCATTGGTGGTATAGTGGGATATGGAATGAATGGAAGTGAGCCAAGTGGGTAAGCCTCCAAAGAACAGACAATGGAAGGTCTACGGGGAACCCAGTCACTGAGGTGGATACGGACAAAGAGAAAATCCAATGAGAGTTTTGTTTCCAAAGGGAGTGTTATGACTACAATATTTAACACCACCTCCTCTCCTCAAATGACTCTTTTAGAGTCACTTTTTGTGAATGCAGAATAGGGACGAATATATTTCTGATAGCCATTAAATTTCTGAGTCATAGCTGGGCTCGGTGGCTCAGCCTGTAATCCCACGCCTTGGTAGGCTAAGGTGAGTGGATTGCCTGAGCCTGAGGGTTCGTGACCCGCCTGAGCAACTTGGCAAGACCTCATCTCTACAATAAATCAAAAATCAGCCGGGTGTGGTAGTACGCGCCTGTAGTTCCAGCTACTTGGAAGGCTGAGGCAAAAGGATTGCTGGAGCCCAGCAGGTCGAGGCTGCGGTGGCCGGGAGCGGCCACTGCACTCCAGTCTGGGCGACAGAGTGGGACTCCAACTCAAAAAAAAAAAAAAAAAAATTTCTGAGTCATGAATATAGGATAAAAACTGACTCTTCACATGAAGAAACCAACAAATTTGGTTTTCAGTTAGAACCAGCAATAACCCTAGGAATTAGCAAAACCCTACAGTTTTAGGTTAGCAAGTGGAAGGTTTACATGGATGGCTACAGCTCAGATAGTCTAATTCACCAATAAATCTTACTGCTGATGGAATCTGAATGCCTTAAATTGGTTTTCCTTAAAAAACAATTTTTTTTTCTGAGATTTCCATAATGCCAGAAGACTTGGGAGAACTGAGATTCTACTTTATTCTCAGACTGAGTCAGATAGATGGCTCATCTGCTTTAAGTGTCCACCTTTCCTTTCTTCCTTCCCTCCCTCCCTCCCTCTCTCCTCCTTCCTTCCTTCTTTCCTTCCCTCCTTCCTCCATCCCTCCTTTTTTTATTTCCTTCCTTCCTCTCACAAATGTTTGAAAAGAATCTTCTCCATGCTTGGATTGTGGACAGTCCCTACCCCAGTTACATATCACATTTTTTTATTTTAATTTTTTATGTAAGAACGTATAGGGTCTTGCTATGTTGCCCAGGCTGGTCTGAGAAGTCCTGGCCTCAAATGATTCTCCTGCCTCAGCCTCCAAAGTAGTTGAGATTATATTTATGTGTTCTACCATGCCTGGCCCCCACATGCTGGAAATACAAAATATCTCCAGGTAGTGATGAATATAAAAACCAAACAAACTTTAGAGGTTATTGATTGAGGATGGGGAGGTGACTTTAGGATTTGATCTGAATCTAATATCAGGCTCCTCTGGCATTGGGATGAAATCCTCAAGAATGAAAAAAGCTTCCTGGAGGAGGAGATGAGATAAGAGACTCATAATAGAAAAGAGCCAGTATAAACAGGATGCGGTGGGAGAAAAGTCAAGCTCCTTGCTGGCCTGCAAAATCCTACGTGATTTTCTTTTCATTGCCACAGGGCAACATGATAGGGCAAAGAGTAGGGAAATGAGAGTGTCACACAGATTTGCCAAAGATCTCTGGTTGTTGTGAACAAAGAAGATAAGAGGTATATAACTGTCATATCAACCCAGTGAATTTATTATAGTCAAATTACCTCTGAAGATGAGAAAACAGCAGCTCAGGATTTCCATACCTTGCCATAGATCGTACGTTTTGTAAATAACAGATGGGGTACCCTGATCTGCACAGACTCAAAACCCATGTTCTTTTCAGGGTACCTGCTATGTAGCCTAGTCTTATTGAAATACAAAATTTGACTTGCATTTTCAGTAAAATATTAAGATTTGTTTCCCTCAAAGGAGAAATCCTCTATAAGAAAATCTCCTCTGAATCCCACTTACTGATTCCAGTTCCTGCTGGCATAACCTGACTTTTAGAGTCAAACATTCTAATTGGGTGCAGACACATTCACGTCAGCTGAAGTGTCCTGTTTCTGATGCCAGCCAAAGGACAGCAACTGGATTTCTACCTTAACTCCATCTCCTTGTAGAGCAATGGTTAACTGGTATGTGTCAGATTATAGCCATAGTATATTTTACTAATATCAACATTTTTGCTATGTATAGTATGCAGTATTATACCTGAAATCTTCCAGGATGGCAGGGAGCTATTACAAAAAATTGCTTAATTATAAATTACTACTGTATATTTAAATTTCAGTAGCATATTAAGTTCTGGGACTTAGTTACCACTTTGCGTTTTGATTATGCCACCGATTACTTAGGTTTGCCAACCTGTTCTTCTTATGGTGTGACAGGTCATAATTAGAGCATTACTGAAAAACCTAAAGTTTTCCTAGGAGATGTCCAGCAGGACTGGCATTCTTATTGATCTTTCAGAGTCCTTACTCTGCCATCCAACCTTCAACCCCACAACCCTGGCAATATTCCTTGATGAATATCTGTATGGAATGGCCTTGGTGGTCCTAGTTTAGTTTTGTATGTAAATTTAACATGGCTGCAAAAATGTGAAAAAGCCCAATGATCCCACAAAGAGTTCACCAGATGATATGCTAGGGCAGGGTTTTCCAATCTTGGTACTATTGACATTTTTATTGTGAGGGACTGTCCTGTGCATTGTAAGATATTTAGCAGCATCTCTATCTTGTCTCTGCTAGATGCTGATAACATCCCTCCAGTTTGTGACAACCAGAACTGTCTCTAGCTGTTGTCAGATGAACTCAGGGGACACAATTGCTGTCATTGAGAACTACTGACCGAGGAAAAAGGGAGATAAAAACTGCCTATCAGCTAATCTTATTTTGGTGCTCAATGTGGAAGACGTTTTCTGTCTCTTGATGGACTCTCTCAATCCTGTATACTTTCAATTATTGGAGGTGAGTATTCTTGATTTCACCTCTTACATATGATACGAGAGAAGGATAAATATAAAACGGGAAGAATGATTAAGAGGACCAAACAGATTTCTCTAAGGTTGGGAATTTCTATATTCAAATTCCAAATAGAGTCCTATGACGCCAGAGTAATTGGTGAAGTTTCTGTGTAGTGGTTTTGCTGTTTATGTCTCCTCGAAATGGGCTCAAGATGTGACTTCACTGATGCAAGAGTGCCAGATAAGCTGACTTGACGGCCTTCACTAGTTGGGTTGTTAGAGCCGGTCTGCCCTACCACACATATAAGTATAATACCACCCATACAAGGAATGGTTCAGGACCTATGGCTCATTCTTCTCTAAATGTGTTTTTAACCTTTAAGAAAAGCACCGACTGTGCAACCTCTTTGGAGGACGGTGTGGCGATTTCTGAAAGAAATAGAAATTGACCTTCCATATGACCCAGCAATTCCCCTATTGGGAATATATCCCGAGGAACTCAAATCATTCTACAAAAAAGGTACCTACACACGTATATTGGTTGCAGCTCTATTCACAATAGCAAAAACATGGAACCAACCATGTTGCCCATCGAAGCTGGACTGAATAAAAAAAAATGTGATACATACACACAATGGAATATTATTCAGCCATAAAGAAGGACAAACATATGGACTTCGCAGCAACTTGGGTGGATTTAGGGTCAATCATACTCAGTGATCTATCACAGAAACAAAGAACAGAGTACCATATGTTCTCTCTCATAAATAGACCTTGAGCAATTATAATACTATAAGAAAGGGATTGGCAGTAGTGGGAAACTGTCAGGGGAGGGATGGTAGGATTGGCAATTGAGGGAAACTACTAGGGGAGGGAGGGGCATACCTCATCAACAAGGGTACCTGCATAATCAATGTTTATATACCTAACCCTGAATTGTACCCCATATCTTTATAACAAAAAATAGATAATTAAATTAAATTAAAAAGAAAAAGAAAGAAAAGCACCTACTCATACTCATGACGATTCAAATACTTTAAATTTCCTTCACTTATTCTTCACCCTTTTATCTCTTTCTTCTCTCCCCTCTATCTCCTTCTACTAAAGCAGCCAGCTTCTCCCTTATGAGTAACCTTCTTGCTTATAACAGAGTACATGACCCATCATACAATATCAACATATTTTTGTTGAATGGATAAATAAAAGTTTAAAAGCGCTGATGATAAAGGAAATCAGAATTAGAATCAAAGGTTTATATCTTTCTAACTTATATAGGAGATGAGAATGATGATGATGATGGTTATGATGAAGATGACGATGATGACGATGATGACGGGAAGAACTACTCATCCCACTTATCATATGGCTTATGGCATTGTCAGTTTATCCCAGGCTTACACTATGTGGGCACTTTCATTTGTATATGCGTGATACTGCTTTTAAAGTGATTTCTTCTTCTTTGTCCTATTATAGAAGTTAAAAGCATGCTTACATGCATGCACACATAGACACACAAATCACGTGTGTTTCTGAGGAGTGACCCTAACAGTTAAGGAGTCAGTGACAGAAGGCACTAGTACTCTGATGGGCCTTCAGATATGCTCAGCAGAGGTAGGGCTCACACCTCCTGAGTCTGGCTGTTCATGGCACTTAGATATTCAAGAAGTGCTTTGTTATTAGTTCTGTTTTGCAAAACCCCCTTAAACCCTGAATGCTGAGTTGGTATTGGTTTCTTAGTGAGGTTGTATCTAGTAGCTGGTGCAGTTTACCTACCAAAGATTAGATTACTTTTTAATTTCCTTGTCCCAATGTCCTTACATTTTCCTGCCTAAGTAACAGTGCCTAGGAGAGAATTCGTTTGGTTTCCCAAATTGTCTCATTTCCGTTATCATGGAAAGTCTTGCAATGCCTTTGATAGTTTAGTTTGACCACACCAAATGCCATGTGAAATGGATCACCTATGATCAGTTGCTCCATAGCCTAAGGACCTGATCTTGAAACAAAGGATTGATCATCCCCAAGGGAAATGGTTGGATCCAGGGGATTCTAATCATGATTTACTTGTGTTTTGTAAATTAAAAATATGCTTTAGATACAGAAAATTCTTCAGTAATAGTACTTTCAGATTAGGTTGAGTAAATGGAAGTCAATTTTTTCTGTAATCAATAGACTAATATATAAGCCTTTTCCCATTTTGAGGAAGAAGGACATTAACAATTTTGTAGTGTGGATTAACATAGGCACATTTTGGACACAGTGAAATAAGTGGATGTGCCTCAGGTTTCCAGTTCATAACTCACTTCGTTCAATTTAATAGGTACTTGTTAAGCATGTACTAATGACAGTAATTGTACTAGGCACTGAGAGGAATACAAAGAACAAAAAGACATGATCCCCACCCCTTGAAGAGATCTCTGCTTCTCTCTCACTATCTTTTCAAATCTTAAATTGAAGTATGACATGTTTAGACTATAGAAGTTGGAAAAGATCTTAGTCTTCATTTATATGTTGAAGTCTACTTGAAAATTAAGAGAGAATTATAGTTTGTTCTCTCAATCATAAAACTAAGAATTGTAACTTGAGCATTTATAAGACCAGTGAGAATTGATGAATAATAATACCTCTCATGGATTATAACAATATACTAATTACTCTGTTCACCGATAATTAATAGCAACAAAAATATTGGCATTTGCAAATTCTGAATTATGTTATTTTCCCCTTAAGATAGGTAAACAGTATTATGTGCATTGCATTTAGAAGATGAATATTGCTTTTCATTTTACTTAGAATCCCAGAAGACCAAACCAGAAGCTATAGGCTATTCCTATTACAGTATTCTCAGATTTGGAAGAGATCTTAGAGGACATCTGACCCATCTCTCCTCTTCCTTATAATCAAAATACATCAGAGAGGAGTTAATTCTCCCTTCTTATCGTATACTTCCTAACTTCTTCCTGTCAGGGGTGTGGTTCTCACTTGGCACTGAAGATGATGAGACAGAGGAGCTAACCCGCAGGGCTCCGATGTTGAGGGTGGCCATAATAGTCTCTGTGTCCACCAGAATCTGGCTGCTTGAGGGATGATATGGGCGGGAAAAGACAGCACACATGGAACATTGCTCTATGTTGGCCACAAGTAAGTCTGTAGAATATAGTGCAGAGCCCTAATGAAAGAAAGACAGAGAGAGAAGGGACTTGTCAAATGGAGAAATTGTATTTTATGGCTCAGGGTGCTGAGTCTTTGTAGGCAATGTGGTCTTTGAGTCAAAGCCTTTTCAGCCCACACTGATTTGATTTTAAAACTTAGTTACCTGATATCTAACACACTTAACCTTATTATTAACATCGTAGCAGAAATAAATTTCACAGACCACTTTTTTGAGCAAGTTTGGATAAGATAACGAAGAGTGGGATGAAAGGAGCATAAATACATGCAGATGATTCAAGTGGAAAGGAGCAGTACAGTAGTATAACAGTGGTGAGGAAACAGTCCAGAGAGAGATTATGGATCCAGAGTCAAAATTTGTGTCCTCACAATCTTGCTGGTTAATTGCTGACCCTACTTATACTCTTCAGATTAACAAACATAGTGGCAGTTCCTTCTTTCTTTGGTGGAGATATAGGGATAGATCTGGTCCCACTTTCCGGTAGCATAGTGTATAATACTGGCAACTTCTAACATGAGCTGGATCTGGAAATTGTGGTTATTTTCTCCTCTCTCTTTCTTTCTTTTTTTTTTTGAGTTGCAATCTCACTCTGTCACCCAGACTGGAGTGCAGTGGCCGCTCCCAGCCACCGCAGCCTCGACCTGCTGGACTCCGGCGATCCTTCCGCCTCGGTCTTCCAAGTAGCTGGAACTACAGGCATGCGCAACCACACCCAGCTAATTTTAGATTTATTGTAGAGATGAGGTCTCACCAAGTTGCCCAGGTGGGTCTCAAATCCGTGGGCTCAGGCAATCCACTCACCTTGGCCTCCCAAAGCACGGGATTACAGGCTGAGCCACTGAGCCCGGCTTCTCCTCTCCCTTTCCATGGACTGAAGCAATAGGGGTGGTACAGGGAACTCTATGGTAGCTTTTGTTTTTCCATGCCATTTTCTTCTTGAGAAATTTATTTTTGAAGTTTGAAAAAATATTCCTTATGCATTGCCAGCATTAATTCATTATCATGTATCAAATGCTTTGGTACACTTTACAATGCAGATAATGGACTTTTCATCTTGGGAAGTAGTGGCATAGATTGGGATACAGACATATAAAAGTTAAGGAAAAATATAATTATAGCCACAATATTATATATGTAAAATGGGTCTATTTCTAAAAAATGTAAAGCCTTTTCTTCCTGTTTATCAGCTATCAGGGACCATATGGTATTAGGTGATCCATACAAGATGTCTCCAGAAAAGAATAAAATATTGGTGCCCAAAAACTGGTCAGTATTAGCTTAGATTTAGCCATTAAATTATAATCAGACTCAGAAATGCAGAAACTCTTATTTGTAAAAGGATTGTAAAACATGATGATTTGAGCATAAACTCAAGAGCCACAATGTCTGGATTTAAATTCTCACTTTGCCATCTGCCTGCTGTGTAATCTGGATTAAGTTACTTACTCTTTTCATGCTTAGAGTCGACATCATTAATATCTACCCCATAGGGTTATTTTGAGGATTAAATGAGTTGATATATATATAAAACACTTAGAACAGGTACTAGTATCTGATAGGCACCATATAACTACAAGCTATTATTATTATTATTACTATTATTATGAACTCTAGTACTATTAGTATAATTATTATAAGTATTGACCATTCCTTATATGATACTTACAGACAGAATGTATATCCGGGGAAAATTCCGAAGGAATCTCCATTCTCTCTTCAGATAATCCAGAGACCCAATGAACACAATGTCCTTCAGCTCCTGCCGGGTATAATTGCTAGCTCTCAAGGGCATCACAAAGTTCCGAAGGCCCATGAGGGCTGATTGGGCATCTCCAAATACACATGCTATAATGTGGTTTTGAAACTTGTGTTTTGGCTTGTCACTTCGTTTCTAAGAATAAGCATGCCAGAGTCTGGTCATTTTTATAAACTAGATAATATTCCCTCAAAGTGGGCTCCCTGCCTTAAATTGAAAATGGGACTTATGCTTAAGTGGTACAATTATACCTTTTACCTTTTTATTTTAAAATAAGAATTCCTTCTTATTTTACTTTAAAAAAAACCCACAACTTTTCTATTAGCCAGGAGTGGTTGATCACAATTCACATTCGCATCATTCCTCAGGGAGAAAAAAATCATTGGATCAAATGGAGAAAATATATCTTGATTTTTAGTACATATTTTTAGCCTTCTACATGCTATAGTAAGAGTCAGTGTAAACAGAAGACATTCCAAATTTCATTGCTAAACTTATGTCTTCTAGTAGACCCTGAAAATTATAGCAAGTTGCATAACATGTTGCAATATTCAGTGGGTTTTCACAAAAGTGGGTTTTCACGGTTTGAACCATATGAATTTACTTTTTCAATGGATCAAAAATGGTTGAACCTTGGCAGTTTCAAATGGTTCAACCTAATACACTAAACTGATTCAATAGACTCCTGCAGCAAAGAAATTCATCATGTGAAGTCATAAAATAAATAAAAAGATTATAAAAATTCCATTTGACCTCAAATACTTAAATATGTCTCATGCTTTCAACAGAATTACCAATTGTTAGCATTTCTCCTATAGAAGCAAAATCATATGCATAACTTATATTTAGATTAGATTCCATCACATTCACAGAGACTCATAAAAATAATAAATACGACTTTGAAAATTATATTCCTATAGGAAACTTATTTTAAGTCTATTGTCTGGTTTCTTTCAGAGGCTAGGCTAATGTCTCCTCATACAGCATTGGGATGTAACAGAAAGAACACTGGAATTGGAGTCAGAAGACATAATTTTTTATTCTGGTTCTATTGTTAAATATATATAATAACTGAAAAAATTACTTAACCTCTCTGATCTTTAATTTCACTATGTTTCAAATGATAAAACAAAATAAAACAAAAAACCCTGAAAAGTTAATCTTGTGAAAATTAAATAATATATTGAAAGTATAAATTACTTGACTCAGTTGTAAAGTATCTATTAATCAAATCTGAAACTTATTGACCTTCTACATTCTAAAAGGAGGACATTTTGAAACTAGGGAATAGGTTAAATGTTTAAATTTTAGTAAGAGCATGTTCTACATTACTAGACTCAGACTATTTCAAATGAATATATCATTGTTCCTTATGGCAGTCCTTTCATGGGTTAGATGTCAAGACGCTAAGAAACAGGGTTTGACAAAAATCTAACAGGATAAATAAGTAACGTCTAACATTTCAACAATTAATCAAGTTATCATATACTGAGAAATACTGTACTGTACTTATTTTCTATAAGGAATTAATTTCCCTGGGGAGAAAATAAATCTACTTGTCTGGAGAGCCTTGCTAGAGTGATATGAGTCTTAACCAAATCTTTTAAATAATTGTCTTTAGTTCATCTGATTAGTTTTAACTTGGATAATGAAGCCTTTAACAGTATTTAATGTAACATGTCTAAAGTCCAACAGTTGCTCTTCTGAGTAGAAACTTAAGAATTAAAAACAAGATACATGACAGAATGCATTAATGGGCACGCTAGAAGGGAAATTTTTCCATGAAACTATGGCACTAAATTGACTCCCAATTAAGAAAGATGGTGGCTTTGGGGAGAAGAGGAAGATGTCCTATTTGCTCAAATTAACATAAATGTAACACTTCCACTTGACCCTCCTGCAAATGAAACCAAGTTTAAAGTCTCCCCGGATTTTGCAATATGGACATTTCTTCTCTAAAGACACATATTTCCAAATCTTTGGAATTTCTAAAACTGGAAGGCATTCTAAACTCAACAAAAGACTCAGTTAGTATTCTGAACTATATTCCATATCAAACATCATAAAGGAAATATCTATCATGGCAGCCTTTCTGCATACTTAATAAATATGACCTAATAAAATATCTGCTATTTCCATTCCTTGTACTCAGATGTCTCAATATGCAATCAACTTCCCAACCTTTCTAAAGATTTGCTTCCCATCTAAAACATGTTTGGTTTCTGTTAAATGGATGTTTATTTTTCATAGCTTAAAATAAGATATAATTGCTAAAATGATGAACTTCAGCAACCCTAACAGTTTTGCAGTTGAAATGCCATCTCTGACAATTTTGTGCTTCTGATCAAATAATTGATCATGCTTTTATAAAAATTGAAATATATTCTGTCAGGACACTGGCACTAATCCACAAGGCTGTTGTGTGTATAAATTTGTGCAGCTAACAAAAATAAAATAAACTACTTTTGAAAAGTAAAAACATATATATATATATAATATGTTATATAACATATATATATAATTATCAATTAGCCCTAGGTGAAAAAATTATATAGATTTCATACAGCATGCAAGAAATCATTTTATTAGTTAAATTGATCAGCTTCTGCTTATAAGATAAACCACTGATAGTTTCCAATGTGAAACTCCAGAAAATTAGAGTAGATGGGGATCCAGAAGCAAGAATGAGAGCCTGAATTAGAACACAAGACTTTTCACATCTCAGTAGTAGGCTATTCAGTGAGTTGAGTTAGCTTTTCTTCTTGAGAGGAAAGATAGGGACAGGACTGTAGTATCTACAAGGAATCACCAAGGTTGTATGCAGCAATTAGAAGGCATATTCATAGCTAATGTATTAAAAATAAGTATAACCAGCTTTAAGAAAAACCATTATGGAAAATCCAAATTTCAAGACCAATAAATTAGGAAAATGCAAATTTATTTTAAAATGAAGAAACTTCTGGAGAAATCCAAGATGGTCACCCGGGAGTAGCTAGTTGGCACCTTTTTTGCAGAGCAGAACAAGACAGTGCCAGCTGCTGGGAACCTCAGGCTTCTTGAACAGACTTAAATGGAGGATGCACTCTATATTGTATAGAGGACTGTTAGAACACATAGGGAACAAGAAAGGATCCCTCCCCACCAGTTCTCATGCTGGCACAGGATTTACAGTTTTACCTCATATTCAAGAGGGTGTGAGAGCTCCTGACATGGTCTGTGACAGTTTCCCTCTCCTCAACTTGCATAGGTCTTTGGTCTCACGTGGGAGAAAGCCTGGTTAGGGCCTAGAGGTATTCTGCCAGAGCCCAAGTGGAGCTGGGAACACACCCTAGCTCAGAACAGCTGCCATCAGTCAACTCCTGAAATTGTTCCCTGCTGGGATTGCTTGGTAGCCAGCTTCCTGGATGGGAAAGTCTACCTGCTGACTGCACTCACTTGGTATCCACTGCTAGCATTTGGCAGCCAACTCCCCTACCAGGAAGAATTGCCTGCCATCTTCACTTGCCCCAAGGGCAGGTCCCACCTCAAAAAGGATTCTGCTGCTTTTAAATTCTGAGCACAGTCTTTGGCAGGAGAGGAAGTGTTGTGAAAGGCACCTGGCAGCCCTGTTTTATGGCTGGAACACTTCTGGGCTGTGGATGGCACCACACTCTGCCACGCTACTTCAGTGGTGAGTGGTCCCATTCTCCCTTCCAATCCCCTAAAAGCTTGCAATTGGGGGTCAGAAAGCAGTCAGTATGTGTAGCCACAGGAAAAAACTTGGCAGTAGAAAGTCGCTTTGAATTCTGAGCACTTTGAGTTCTAGCAATAGTGGCAGAGCTGGAGTATCTGTCCTCTCTCCCTTCCTGTGTGAACTATTTTGGCAGAAAAGGCCCTAAGGCAGCTAGACCACATCTAACTACAAAATAATAAAACTAAAGAAGAAGAAGATGAGGAGGAGGACGAGGAGGAGGAAGAGAGAAGAATTGGTCCTCACGAATGAGGAAGAACTAACAAAAAAACAGTAGTAATTCTCAAAGCCTTGAGGAGGCATCACCCGCAAAAGCACCTCCCAGGACTCAAACAATGAGCCACCCAGAACAACCTGTCCCTAATGACAGACACAGAATTCATAAAATGGATGGCTAAAATGACTATGAAAAGCCATGAGAAGTTGAAATCAAAGATAACTCAGGCAACAAAAGTAATGCAGGAAACAAAAGTTGAGCAGGCCAATAAAAGAGAGGTCCAAACTGAAATCCTAGAAATAAAGAATTTCTTCTTGGAATTTGAAAGTACAATGACAGGCCTAGAAAGTGAAATCAACCAGACAAAGAATCTGAGTTTGAAGATCAAAATACTGAACTCAACCTGACAAAAAAAGGAGAAAGGCCTCAAAAGGAAGGAGCAAAGCATACTAGAGGTGTGGGATTATGTAAAGAGACTAGGTCTATTATTGATTGACATCACCGAAACAGAAGGGAAAACTGAGAACATCCTGAAGTAAACCTTCCAAGATGTCATCCAAGAGATTTCCCCTATCTCACTAGCGAGGCAATCATCCAAATGCAAGAGAGTCAGAGAACCCCTGCAAGGTATTACATAAGAAGACTATTCACAGACACATAATAATCCATCTCCATAAGGTGAACATGAAATAACAAACTCTAAACACAGCTAGAGAGAAAGGACTGACCATCTACTGGGGAAGAACTATCAGAATTGCAGCATACTTCTCAACAGAATCCCTACAAGCCAGAAGGCACTGAAGTTACATCTTTATCCTTTGTAAAGATAAAATGGTATAGCCAAGAATTTCCTATCTCACTAAGATAAACTTCATTAGTGATGGAGAATTAAAATCCCTCCCAGACATCAAACCCTAAGAAAATACATCACCTCTAGACCAGTATTCCAAGAGATGCTTAAGAAATATCTGAACACAGAAATGAAAGGATACTTATACTCATAGCAAAAGCACAGGCAAGCACAAAGTTAATAAAGCATACAGACCACCTGCAAAATCAAAGAAGAAGAAGGGAAAAGCTAAGGAGGAGAAGGAGAAGGAGGAAGAGGAGGAGGAGAAGGAAGAGGAGGAGGAGGAGGAGGAGAATAATACTAAGAAGAAGACGAAGAAGAAGAAGAAGAAGAAGAAGAAGAAGAAGAAGAAGAAGAAGAAGAAGGAGAACTTCTTAAAAACATTATAACAATATATCTATAATTATAAATCCTTACATTTCAATAATCATGAATGTGATGGACTGAATGCACAACTACAAAGGCATAGAGTAGCAAACTGGTTAAAGAAACATGATCCAATATTCTGCTGCCTTGAGGAAACCCATCTCACAACAAAGGACACCATACAATTATAGTCACAGACTTTAAAACTCTGCTAACAACCCTAAACAGATCATCAAGGCAAAAATCCAACAAGGATTTGAACCTTAACTCAACACTCAACCAATTGGACCTAATAGACATCTACAGCACACTCCACTCAACAACCACAGAGTATATATTCTACTCAACAGCACATGGAACATATTCCAAAACTGATCATATTCTCAGGCATAAATAAAATGTAAAGTTTTTTTAAAAGGTTGAAATAATACCAAGCATCTCTGAGACCACAGTGAAAACAAAATAAATGTCATCACTAACAAGAACCTCTCAAAATACACAAACACATGGACACTAAATGACATGTTACTGAATGTCTTTTGGGTCAACAAGGAAATCAAGAAAGACATAAAAAGATTCCTGAAAACAAATGAAAACAAAGACACAATATATCAAAACCTCTGGGACATCATGAAAACAATGTTGAGAAGGAAGTTTATAACATTATACACATATTAAGAAGATAGTGGAATCGCAAGTAAATAGCTTAACATCACACCTAAGGGAGATGGAAAGGCAAGAACAATTAAATTCTAAATTCAGTTAAAAAAAATCCAGATTGCAAGATAAAGTCACAATTACAGGAAATATAAGACAAAAATATCATAGAAAGGATCAGTAAGACAAAAACTTGGTTCTTTGAAAGGATAAATAAGATTGACAGACCTCTCTGGCCAGACTGACTAACAACAAGATACAGAAAGTTGAAAATAAACACAATTAGAAATCAAAAAAAGAGATATCACAACTTACCTTGAAGAAATTCAAAACATTATCAGATTACAATGAAAATCTATATGCAAAAAACTGGAAAATCTAGAAGAAATGAAGGAATTCCTGGCATCACACAAGCTCCTATGGCTGAAACAGGAATAAATTGAATCTAAGCAGACCAATAACAATCTATGAAATTGACTCAGTTATAAGAAACCTCCCCACCAAAAAAAAGTCGAGAGTTCAGATTGTTTTTCAATTGAATTTTACAAGACATACCAGGAAGAGCTGATATCAATCCTATTGAAAGTATTCCAGGCAATCGAGATAAAAGAAATTCTTCCTTGCTCACACTATGAACCTAATAGCATCCTGAGGGACTGCTTAAGATCCAACAAGGAGAGAATTACAGGCCAATATCTATAGTGAACACAGATGCAAAAATTCTCAAAAAGATCCTAGCAAATTGTATACAACAACACATTTCAAGGATCATTCATTATGACCAAGTGAACTTCATTCCTGGTTGAATATTCACTAGTCTATAAATGTAATTTAGCATATCAACAGGTTTTAAACCAAGAACTACATGATTATCTCATTAGACACACAAAAAGCATTAACAAAATCCAGTATCTATTCTTGGTAAAAACCCCTAAACACCTAGGCATAGAAGGAACATTCCTCAAAACAATAAGAGCCATCTATGACAAACCTGCAGCCAACATCATGCTTAATGGGCAGAAGCTGGAAGCATTCCCCTTTAGAAATGGAAAAATGCAAGGATGCCCATTCTCATCCCTCCTATTCAACATTGTACCATAAGTCCTAGTCAGAGTAACCAGGCAGGAGAAGGAAATGAGGGGTATCCAAATAGGAAAAGAGTAAGCTAAGTTATTCCTCTTTGCAGATGATATGATTCTATACCTAGAAAACTCTAGAGAGACTGTCAAAAACCTCCTTGCACTGATAAATGACAATAAGCAGGCTGAGAACCAAATTCACACACACACACACACACACACACACACACACACACACACACACACACACAATTCCATTCACAATAGCCACCAAAAAAAAAACAACCTTGGCATCCATCTAACCAAATATGTAAAAGACCCGGACAATGAAAACTACAAAATACTGCTCCAATAAGTCAAAATGATACAAACAAATATAAAAAATCCCATGTTCATATATTAGAAGAATCAATATTATCAAAATGTCCATCCTATCCAAGATAATCTACAGAGTCAATGCAAACCCTATCAAATTGTCAAAATAATTTTTCATAAACCTAGAAAAGACAATACAGAAATTCATATTTAGAAAACCAAAAAAGAGTCCGAATAATTAAATAATTGTCAGCCAAAGGTATAAAGCTGGAGGCAACACACTTTCAGACTTTAAACTTTATTACAAGGCTACAGTAACAAGACAGCATGGTATTGTTACAAAAATAGGTGCATAAACCAATGGCACAGTACAGAGACTCCAGAAAAAAGAACATAGTTCCTAAACCAATTCATCTTCAACAAAGCTATCAATAACAATCACTGGGGAAAGGAAATCATACTTAGCAAATAGTGCTGGGAAAACTGGCTAGCCACCTGCAGAAGAATGAAACTGGACAACTACCTGTCACTGTGTACAAAAATTAGCTAAAATGGATCAATAACTTAATGTGAAACCTCAAACTATAAGAATTTTAGAAGAAAACATAGAAAATACCCTCCTGAACATCAGACTAGGCAATGAATTCATGGCCAACTGTCAAAAACAAATGCAATCAAAGCTAAGCAAGAGAAGTAGGACCTTATCAAACTGAAAAGTTTTTGCACAGCAAAAGAAACTATCTGGGGAATAAAGAGACAACCTATGGAATCAGGAAAAAATACTTGCAGGCTATGCATCTGACAAAGGTCTAACATCCAGGATCTACAAGGAACTCAAATGAATTGAAAGGATAAAGGCAAACAACCCTACTAAAAAGTGGGCAAAGGACATGAACAGACACTTCTCAAAGGAAGACACACAACCAACCAATAAATACATGAAAAAAATGCTTAGTTTCAGTAATCATCAGAGAAATGCACATTGAAACTACAATGAGATACCACCTAACACTGGTAAGGATGACTATCATTCATAAGTCAAAAAACAACAAGTGCTGGTGCAGCTGCAGAGAAAAAAGAATGCTTCTACACTGTTGATGGGAATGTAAGCCAATTCAGTCTTTGTGGAAAGCAGTGTGGTGTTTTCTCAAAAAACTAAAAATTGACTTTCCATATGATCCAACAATCCATCTGGAAATATACCCAGAGGATCATAAATTGCCCTACCAAAAAAGGATACCTGCATACACATGTTTTTATAGCACTATTCACAACAGCAAAAATGTGGAACCCATCCAGGTGCCCACTGAAAGTGAACTGGATAAAGAAAATGTGGTACATATATACAATGAAATATTATGCAGCCATGAAAAAAAAAAACCAATCATGGCCTTCACCGCAACTTGGATGCAGCTGGAGACCATCGTGCTAAGTGAGTTATCACAGAAATAAAGAACTGAATACCACATGTTCTCATTTATAAGCAGGCCCTTATTAGTGGACACATTAGCACAAAACTGGGATCAGCAGACTCTAAACACTGCTATGGAAGAGAAGGAGGCATATGGCAATGCACTGGGTACTGGGTCCACTATTAGAGGGAGATAGGGCCAGCTGAAAGCCCAAACTTCACCTGCATGCAACCTATTTATGTAATAAATCCACACTTATACCCCACAACTCAATAAGATAAAATGAAATAAAATACTGCAGAATCCTTGTAGACAGTAGGTTTCTCTGGTACACTTAAATTGACTAGATTTACTAGCAAACAGCAAGGATTCAGAAGAACATTATTCTGAATAATCGAGTCACCAAAACTGTTAAAGGATGGAGAAAATAGTTGAAGACATATAAATGTTTCAAATCTCAGCATATTACCCACATAGTCTTTTTTCAAATGTCACATGTATTACCTTGTATATCATTCATACAGCTGCTGAGTTATGTGAAGTTTTTTCCAAATACAGTTTACAAGGATAGATGACAGGTGCTTATGAATAACAGAAGAATGCCATTCACTCTAAGGGATATTTAAACTTATTTAAGATTCAGTACAAGATCACCTACCAGAATCACCTTTTCCAAAGGGGTTGCTTTGCACCAGTGAAACATGCCACTGCTATCAAGCTGGTCAAAATTTTGCCCTGGCTCATATAGAACAGTCCTAAACAGGGAGAATGAAGAATTAGTCTAAGAACATTTGAGGGTCTGCTGTAACAAAGTCAAGATGTAAAACTCATTAGTGTCTTGAGCCCAAAGTGAAGAATAAAATGAGGAGAATGACATCAGGATGTGAGACTCCAGAATAATCCAGGCTTAGGCTACAGAAACAACCTTAAAACCCCAAGGACCTAACACAACACAGGTTATTTCTCAGCTACACTATGTATTTGACTCATGCAAAAAGGTGCTTTTTCTCCACATGGCTACTCAGAACCTTGAAGGGAAAAAGGTTCTACCATCATCTTGTGGCCTCAACACCTGGGACATGCCTCCTTCTCAGTTACAAGGTAAGGGAAGAGTAAGAAACTGGAAAATCAAGCCCAGTTCTCTAAGTGCCTTGGCACAAAGTGACATGCTTTATTTCTGCTCACATCTCATTGGCCAGAACTAGTCACATGGCTCTGCCTGCTGACTTTAAGTGGCTGGGGAACCTGGGAAGAACTGAAATATTTTGTGAGCATTTCTATCTCTGCCAGAGACCTTAAAGATTACCCTCTTTTATTTTATGGATAAAAGTCAAAGTGCTAACAAAGTGTAAAGCTGGCATTTGAATATAGTGCTGAGGTTAAGGTTACTAGTGCTTCCAACATTCAGTTCTCATTTCTTTCCTGAGTGTAGGTTACAGGTAAGTGGAGCCACATGACTAGCTCTGTTCAATGAAATTTGAGAAATGGCAGCTCAGGCAGGGAGAATCCCCATTGTGATTCTCCAGGCTCTCTCCTAACCTGCTACAGAGATGACCAACCTGAGTACATGAGTGGATGTGTGGAGCAGAGTGTCTCTGCCTGCTTGACTTGTGCTGGATATATAATGTGGACAAGAAACTAACCTTCGTTGTGCAGAGCCACAAATATATTTCATAGTTGTTACCACAGCATGTTCATTCTATTCTAAAACCAATACCTTTTCCAAAAAAACAAAACAAAACAAAACAAAACAACCAACAAACAAAAAAACCGTGCTCCATGGTATATTAGTAACTGCAGAAGTCCTGTAAAAAGGTTTTCTGTAGTCAAATAAAGTTTGAGAAAAGTAACCCTTTTTGGGATCCCTGCTGCACTTTAACATACGAAAGGTTCTGAAAATAGCATAAAAAATGATTTCTCCATTTTAAAAAATCCTTTAAAAATTGTATGACCCGGTGTTTCACAAACTAATATGATGTTTACTATTTACCTACAAACTTATGTGCGTATTTTGTTATTTAAAAATTTCTGTTATTATCCCCCAAAATACCTTTTTGGATGTATTCTGCTATGTAACACTACAGATTCAGGTCTGGCGATTAGTAGCTTAATGAGAGCATTCTCCTGTATGACTTTACTCTACATCCTAGAAGAAATACAACCTATTTCTCTCCATCCTGAAGGATTAGGGGTTTTCCCTGTAAACTAACATAGCTTATTATTTAATACCTGGCCCAAAGGCTCAGACTTCAACATAACGACAAGCTAACCAAGTTAGCTTCTCAATTGCTATCCTAAGTCATAATTTTTCAGACAAAAGAACTTACTCAAACTTAGATTGAAGTGTCAGACTTAAAGTAATGGGATAGAGAGAGGACATAGGCAGAGAGGTCAGGATAGGAGGGATGGGGGATGAGTTTGGAAAGGCGGGAAGAACAATTCCTATCAAAATTGGCCAAGGCCTTGATGCGTTTTTTTATCTCCTTCTGCACTTAAGATGTACCTATAAATTTTGTGGATTTAGTGAATTCTAATCATTACCTAGCCAGAATATGTAACAATTCTCAAAGTCAGCTTGACCAAAATGGGCTACCTTGTTCATTCAAATTAACATGGCTTTTGACAATTTAAATAACCATAAGTCGTGAGCCCCAATATCAAATTCCAAGAGCCACACAGACTCCCTTAATGGTACCAGACTGGGCCGTGGTGATGGCCTTATGCCAATCCTGTTAAAGGGACTCACCAGGGAACACACCTAATAGATAGTCTAGTTTTGATTTTTATCAGGATTTGGAGAAGTGGCTATGTTATTTATGTATGGAACCCTCTTTCTCTCCATCAGCAACTTCCCAGACACTGTCGGTTTAGATTTTTCAGAATATGTTTATGTAATGTAACCAAGTTGGTGGTGACTACCTTTCAGGGACTCTTTGAAAACAATCTGAGTAGCTATCTTACCTTCACGTAGGTGGCACTTTCTTGCCCTCAGCACCAAACCTGCAGCGACTAGTACTACTTTCCTTCAGGTCCTTTTCTTCAGGTTTTTCCCACTCCCTCTCCTTCCCCACCCTTCCCATCCCCTATGACGAATGAAGAGTCCTTGTTCAGGTAATTAAATGCCCTTTTGGCAAATGGAAGATGATTTTCTCCCAAGCACATTTTAACTTGACTCAGGATAGCAAATCAATCATTATACATTTCTATAATGATAAAGGCGTGATCTATGTATACAGGCTATCACAGCAATATCTTTCTTCATTCTGATGTTCTGAAAAACAGATATGCCTTAAAGGAAACACCAGTTGGACAACCACATTTTAAGAATGCTAGAGGAGATCCACTTCATCATAATGGCTTCCATCTGGTGTACTTGCCAAAGCAAAACCTAATGCAACGTAGATCACCTTCTCTCAGCTAAAGCTTCCATCTGCCATATGCTTTGTAAATGACATGATCCTTGGAGAAATATACCTCCCGAAAGAGACTAATACATCTTCTAAGAGAGTATGCAGCATAGCAGTCTTAGAACTTAAAGGTGATTGAAGGAAAAGGGGCACCATCCAGGTCAAAAAAAGACCTGTCACATCCTGACCAAGATAGAAGCCTTTTGGGTGAAGGAGTTTTGTGTGTGGGAAAGGCTGACAAAAAACGTGGTGGGAGTTGTCTAGGATGGCTCTCAGGAGGGCATGTTTGAGATAAGGGTGGAGTTGGTTCTCTAATGATGAGACACACTTCTTACTGCCCAGTCAAAAGTGTGGTACTTCTGCCTGGGAGCACTGAAGAAGTATTGGGTCTTGAAATGGCCTCAGGATCTCTGGATTCTACCTTTGGAAATTTATAGATCTAGTGTGCTGGATGAGAACCATTTTTGCAGCCAGTCCCATTTGTGGGCATGCAAAACAGCCTATAAATGAAGCCTCTAGCTTTCTTTTCTCACAACTGCCTTTTTTGGGGCTGCTTTGGTATACATGGAAACAATGTCTTTTGAGCACATGCTTGAACATGTCCTAGCATTTATTATCCCATGTTCATAGCAACTTACCCTATGTAAATCTTATCACTTAAAAGAAGATGCAAATGAAAGATCATGTGCCTTTAGTTTCCAATATTGGCACCTGATGAGAGAGAGCAAACCATGTAGGAAAAACCTTTATTAAGAAGGTAGATTAAGTTTCACAGTGCCAGGTAAGGAAGCATGGTTTCCAAGAATGTAAATCTGTTGTCATTATTTTCTCCAATTCAGACTTGACTCAGATTATTCTTTTTTATTTTTTTTTTAAGTTGGAGTCGCACTCTGTCTCCCAGGGCTGGAGTGCAGTGGCACGCTTATGGCCACCACAGCCTTGACCTGCTGGGCTCAGGTGATCTTTCCATCCTAGCTTTCCACGTAACTGGAACTACAGGTGTGCATTGCCATGCCTGGCTAAGTTTTTGATTTATTGTAGAGATGAGGTCTTGCCATGCTGCCCAGGCTGGTCTTGAACCCGTGGGCTCAGGCAGTCCTCTCACCTCCGCCTCCCAAAGTACTGGGATTACAGGCGTGAGCTACCACGCCTAGCTTGACCCAGATTATTCTTGAAGATGATCTTCCAATGGATGAGATCTTCCACTATGAAAAAGTGTCTGTTAGAATGTGCAAAAATCTCCTACAGTTCCTTTTATTCATTTGCAGGCCTTGCTTTCAGCTGTGTTGGGAAATCTTGGCTTTGACCATTTCATCCGAAGTTTCCTTAAGACATCACAGATGGCTGGTACATTCTTAAAAAATAATTTTCTAGCCTGGATGCACAATAGTACATTTTTTGTACAAGACTTGAGTTAAACAAAAATAATTAAGTTTGATGAAGTCTTAGCATAGGGAGTGGAACAAGTTCCCTGGTGGAGTATTGGGGATAAAAGAAGGAATATATCAGTGTGCCCAGGATTTTCAGTGACCTTCTTGGTTCAATCTTTTAAAAATCCATTGCAACTTTCTTGAAAGTAATAGTGAAGCTCTCACCAAAATAACGGGAAAATCTCAGTCCCAGAATGCCTTTGATGGTGCTGAGGTTTTTGCATCTTGAATACTACAACTACCTTCTCTCCAGTGACTTTGTATATAGCAACACGGCTATTCAGTTCATATTTGGCTTGGAAATACTCATTTTTTATCCATTCTAACTACTTTTTTGGTGTTACAAACAAAAGGAAAGAAAATCACTTAAAACTTGGGAATGTAAGAGCAGGTTGTAAAAGTGCTTTTCACTTTATCTTATTCCACAGTTTCTCTCACACACACCCCTGCATATCTACACATATACTAATATCAGTCAAATATCAGAAACTGAATCTAATCTTTATGGACACATTATGACTTCATTTTTCTTGGTTTCATCTAGTTGCCATTTACAAGACATTGTTTTCAACCTTAGAAAGAAATGTAAGGTTTAAAAAATGAGGAACTTTATATAGTTCATTTCTCCAGGAACCTGTATATGAGCAAGTTATAAAAGGATCCTGTGAGCTCCAAGGAACTTTCAGGACCAAGCAACTGGGGAAAGATCTCAGGAAGGTAGAGGGCACAATCCAAATCCCTGTTAGAAAGGCTTCTGTGATCTCTTCCTTTTCCATGAGGAGTGGAACATGCACCAAGCTCTGTGCCTTCCATCCAGGTTGACCAGCTATCTTTGATTCTCCAATACTGAGCACAATTGGAAAAAATCTGCCATGAAATGTCATGGGATGCAACATATGCTGACAGCAGCCTGGTTACTGCCAAAGCACCAAGCCTTAGGAAACCATTTGGGAGGAGGAAAATGGTAAGTCTACTGTCTGCCATCAAGGAGTGATTGGTTGTTCTGGTTTGCTTGGGATTGGGGTTTCCCAGAACATAGGAATTTCAGATGTAAAATGGTCATGCTGTTATCCAAAGTGGAGTCTTTCATCCTGCTAATTTGAAGAGCTTCCAGGGAAGGAGGAAGAGGAAGAGAGAAAGAATAAAACACTTAAAACACCAGGCCCAGAAAATCTTCCACATCAGGCAAAAAAATATCCACACATCTATGATAATAAATGAATTTTGCTGTTGTTTAGTGGAAGATAGGACAGCTAGGTGGCCATAGTCCTGAATGTTTTAGGATAATTGAGTTCTAGTGAATTATATTCTCCAACCTCCCTCTAAATCTTCATGTTTTCTAATTCTTTGCATATGCAAAGTCTTCATGACTTCATTGTGAGATTATAAACTTTAATAGTAAAACCAGTAGGTATGATTGGGTATGATTCAAAAACCATCTGCAAATGCTACTTAAAAAGGAAGTGTATGAAAATTCAGGATATCATTGTATTCAGTATACTCTTATTTCAGTCTGTACAGGAGAATGTAAACTAAAAACTGCCTTCTGAGGTAAACTAAATAAGCTGTGAATAGAATATTCTGTTTGCCTTTAAACATTGGTTTATAGATGGGTTCTATCAAACTCATGGCCTCTGTTTTCAATGGTCACAATTTAAAATCTCCATGAAATTATTAATCTAATGAATGAATAATCTCATGAATTAATAATCTCTTGAAATAATCACAAAATTATTTCTACCCTCTAGTTTAAAAGTTAGATCCAAAGTCAGAACAGCCCCAGCCCAAGTGAAGGCAAGAATAGGATGGTGTTTCTATTAAATAAACTCATGACTGATCCTACATTTGAGCATCTTTCTGTTAATCTTTGCTTATTTCTAGTGAGTAAAAACTGACAGTTTTTCTGCAGAACATTTTCTGTGAAAACATGTGTGCAGGCAATTCAGAATGTAAATTGTTACCAGACAGAAGATCAAGGAGAAAGATAAAAAGACACTTTTCCTCTTTCTCAACCATTCCGTAGATGGACCCTCATTTAAACTCTTTATATTTTATGGATATTGCATTTTAGATTTTCCACAATGTGAGGACAAATGAGACGTTACCCAGAGCAGCACATATATTTAATAAAGGCCCGTGTCTGTGTCCTGGGCAGAAAAACCTGGGACTCAGGGAAAAGTATCAAATCTCATGGGAACAATTTCCTTAGTCAATTTTTTTAGCAAAAAGTTGTATTTTTAGGTGTTCTTTTCCACACTTCCTAACACTTTCTAAATATTAAATGACATGGCAAACATATAGGTTGATATAAATGAAAAATATTCCCTCCACTAGACAATTTTGGGATATGATTTTCTTTGTTCAGTGGACGAGAAGCTGAACAATTAAGGCAGCTACTCTGACACTTTCAACCCTAAAATACATTATTTTTAAAAAATGCAAATTTCAGACAAAAGACTTTTTTCTCGTGTTTTATTGATGAGGTATGTAGGTGGGATAATCTGAAAAATATATCCCTTTTCTCTGTATTGATACACTTCCCAAAGTTTTATGGGATTGAGTCCTGATTCGAGATTAATAACATTAATATGCTTTCCTTATGCAGTGAGGTTAGAGGCTTGGTCTGGAAAATAACATCCATCAAAATATTACTGGTGTGAATGTGCAGATGTGCTTCTGTGTGTGAGAGAGAGAAAGAGCTAGAAAGGGATGGATATCAAATTGAAAGGTATAAGCTCTGCAGAGAAAACTAAAATAATTCCAGGGTAAATGGATAAGATGAATTTTTCTTTTAATAAGAAAAACTTATTTAATAAGAAGTTATTTGTAAAGTTTTCTTATGCATACTACTTATTTTCTCTGAAATCCCTGTGGCTGAATGTTGAAATGGAGACAATATGGTGTGCTAGTGATTGTGGATTTTTGAAAACATTGGAAGGACCTAATGGTGTGTCGAGGGCCACAGACTTAAAATTTCCTTACATCTGAAAACCATCAGCAGAGGGAAGCCTGTTGAATAAAGTTATACTGAGTTTTATAACATTATATTTAGCACTAGTGATCTGTCAAAATTGAGATACTGGAGATGGAGAGCATTTGGGATCACTTATGACATGAACCCCTCCTACTTGGTGTGTTACGTGATGGCCATTTTAAAAAAGGGACATGCCTTCATTAAAGATGAAAGGTTAGAATTAGGAGTCTCTGGTGGAAGGAAAGGGTTGTGGACAGTGTTCTTTAACA